TCAGTGCCATACCGGGGGGAACTTACCAGATGTGACCTGACGGGTGTCCCGTATGGAGTCTCCCATCTCAGTGCCATACTGGGGAGCTTACCCGACGTGACCTGACGGGTGTCCTATATGGTGTCTCCCATCTCAGTGCCATACCGGTGACGGGTGTCCCGGGGGGGGGGGCGGAGTTTGGGCATTTTGGTGTTATTTGTATTATTCCCATTTGTTTTGTATGTGTTCATTATTTGTATAATGTCCGTTTCAAAGTCTTCTATTTTACTTTTTTATGTCAGAAAAGACAATGACAGGGATCTCAGCCCCCCTCCCCCCTCCATGCTCCCCCTGTAGCATGACAACATAAATCAACAACTAACATAAACCCTCTTTCCAATCCTCCCACACATCTGCCCTAAACAATCATGGCGTCTCCGCAGGCTCTTCCTTTGTTTACCTCACATCCGGTTAAAAAAACAGCTGGCCGCTTCGAATGTAGCCCCGCCCGCGGCTGGTGGCGACGTATCCAATCAGAGGACAGCACCTCCGGTTTACGGCGTCCGGTGTCTTGGTTACCACGGCACGCTCGCTCTCCGGCAGCCAATCAGGAGAGGCGGCGGCTGGCGTTTAAAACCCAGTAGCGTGGCGTATAGGGACCGTTACTGGGTGTGAGGAGGAGAGCGGAGAGGGCTGAGGTGAGTCCGGGTGGGATGGGAGAGACCGGAGCTCGGACGGCATACCGGACCGGGTTCTCTTTCTTACTGCCCCGTGTGACCTTCCACGACCAGAGGGGGTGTGGGGGGGCTTGTTGGCCTCAGTGTGGGAAGAGGAGAGTGTCGTCCCCCCCTTCCCCCACCTAGTAATAGGATTCTGTTATATCCTGCAAATATTTATTTTTATATATATATAATATACTTTTTTTTTTTTTTTTGTTCTTTAAGAATAACTTTATCTTTTTTTATTAAACCATAATCATTTTTTTTTTAATATCCTGCAATAATATAAAAAAAATTTTTTTATATATATATATATATATATATAAATTTTTTTTATTTTTTTTTTTTATTTTTTACTATTCAACAGTAAAAAAACAAACTTTATTTTATCCTATTTTTAGCTTTCTATTTTTTTTATCCTTCTATTTTTATTATTATTCAACAACAATAATTATAACTTTCTTCTATCAGTCTCTATTCTTATCGTTTATTATTAACAATAATAAATCAAATTTTTTTTTATTCATTTTTTTTTTTTTTTTTCTCTATTTTTTTTTTCCTTTTTTATTGTATATCTCTGCCCCCCTACGGTTGGTACAGAAAACAACCCACCCTGTTTAAAATCATTTTACTATGAAGACAGACACTGTTTTTGTTATAGCGAGCGGTTACTCGGTACAACTTATAACACCAAGTCAGAAAAAAGTAAAAATACCCCAAAAACAGAATCACGGATTTGTCAGTATTTTGTTGAAACAACCCCCCCCTTGTTTTTTGCTTTAATTCCAGCCTTGAGGCTAGGCTCAGATCTGTGCAGGGGTGGACTGACCATTCAAGCACTCGGGCACTGCCCGAGGGCCCGGGGTCAGTAGGGGGCCCCATGAGATGACCCTGGTACACTTTTTTTTTTTTTTTTTTTTTTGTGTTTTTTTTTTATTGGCTTTTTTGAGTGTGGTCAAGGACACGGGCTCCATGATCCCCTATTGCCTGTGGCCCCCATGAGTTGTCAGTACGCCCCGGCATCTGTGCGGGTGGTGCCGCTGCGTTTCCGCATGAAAATTTGGGCAACCGCGCACAGGGATGCGGACCCGCGGGCAGGTGTCATTAGTTCTAGTGGCACGCCGCCCGCACTGGAAACCGCAACTGTACTGGGAACCTCGGCTGCGTTTTCTGAAGTGCCGGGACTTCTTCCCTGCGTGTCCCGGGGCACGGGAGTCCATTCAAATGACTGGGTTCTCGTGCCTGTGCAAAACGCGCCCGCCCGCATAGATGTGAAGCGGAGCTGACACCCCGGTCACATCAAACCTTACTTTGAAATCGTGCAACTTGCAGCGAAGTCGCACGATTTCAGTCGGGTGATTTGCCGATTTCAGGTGTGATTTGCAAAACATCTGATACAGATATCTACGTGAATTGCACCAAAAGCAGCGCATGGACTACTTTAGAAATTGGTGCGGCTCCGACCAAAGTTGGAACCGCACTGATATGACCGCTGCAACTGCGGGCAATAGGGTGCGACTTGGCATGCAGTTTGCGAGTTGCATGGCCTGCAAAGTGCATTTCTAATTTGCGTCCAGTGTGGCCGGAGACTCGGTCTTTTGGGAAATGTCTCTACTAACTTCGCACGCCTAGACTTGTGCAGGCCATAGACGGGTCATTTATCGGCCGATAATCGCACCGTTAGTGGGCAATATCGTCAGCTGATTTTTGTGGTTCCTTCTCGTTTCGTTTATCGGTCATGCTGGAAAATCTACGAAAAACGGCCAATTTTCGTAAGCATTGGTGGCAAGAGACCGACTTTTTTTTTTTTTTTTTTTTTTTTTCTGGCCAATAAACGACCTGTCTATGGCCTTTGTTGGCAATATTTGCCTGCTCTTTTTTGCAGAACGGCTCAAGTTCATGTTGGATGGTGACGTTTGTGGACTGCAGTCTTCAAGCCATTCCACAGATTTTCAATGGGGTTGAGGTCTGGGCTCTGACTAGGCCATGCAAGGACATTCCCCTTCTCCCACCACTGGGGGTCATTGCCATGTTAGAAGGTGGACCTTCTTCCCATTGACCCCCTTCCTGGCCGAGGGCAGCAGATGTTCCTCCAGAATGTGATGGATTTTTCCCCTACCATGTTACCTTCTATCCTGACAAGTGCTCCAGTCCTGGCTGCGGAGAAACCATCCCTAGCAGGATATTACCCCCCCCCCCCCCTCCCCATAACAGAATATTATCCCCCCCCCCTCCCCCTCCTTGGTATTTGGATGGTGAGCTTTCTCCATGTGGTCTCAGAACCTTCCAGGTGCATCATGGCACTGCTCAGTGATGGCGGCATGTGGCCTTTCTTAAGGAGCAGCTTTTTTTTTTTTTTTTTTTTTTTTTTTTTTATTGCAAGCCACGTTTGTGGAGGATTGGTGATATTGGTGTCACATGCACACAATGACCGCTCTGTCAATTCCTGACCAGTCTTCAGAGTTGCTGGAGGCCACTTGGTAGCCTCTCTGACCAGTTTCCTTCTGGCTCTTTCATCCAGTCTGGAGTGATGCCCTGACCCAGGGAGGGTCTGTGTTGTACCAAATACCTTCCACTTCTTCCTCACACACTTCACTCTGCTTCTAGGCATTGATAAAGCTTTTTGAGATTTTTTTGAATCCGTCTCCTGACTTGTTACTGTCCAAAACTTTATCCTGCAGACAGTGCCTTGCCGCTCATAGTTGATTGTTTGCTTTAGTTGCTGTACCAGGGACTGAAATGCTCCAGGAAAGCTCTTGTCATTCTGAGCTAATCACAGTGACCACAGCTGAAAAGCGAGTCGTTTTTTTTTTTTTTTTTTTTAGGAGGGGGGTGATCCTTTTTCCTACTCGGTGATTCTGTTTTTTTTTTTTTTTTTTTTTTTTTTTTTTTTTTTTTTCCTTCTGACATGTTGGTGATAACTTTCTCTTGGGTGTTATAAGTTGCACTGAGAACAGCTGGATAAAACAAATACTGTGTATGTCTTCATTTTAGGCTGCAAAGCAACAAAATGGGATTATTTTAAAGGGGGTGATTCTGATCTGTACCCAATGTACTGTATGCCGGCCTCCTCCCACCGTAGTGTGGGGCCGTGGCATGGCGCTTCGCTGGAGGGCTTCGTTTTAAGGAAAGTTTGACATAATGTGCTAGTATTCGATGCACACGAGCACATTACGCCATTGCCTCGCAGGGGAACCGTTTTTGTGTGTGCGGGTGGGGGGTTCTCCATGATGAAGTTTTTTTACAACCACTTTAAAAGGGGAAGTCTGGTATAATTGAATAAGTAAGGCCGGCATAGTATAGTGGGAGGCCTGTACGGTGTGTAAGGACATGTGAGGCCAGTATGGTGCCCTCAGAGGGGGAGGGTAGGCCTGTATGGTGTAAGGACATGGGAGGCTGGTATCCTAGGGTAGGCGAGGCCAGTATGGTGTCATGGGGGAGGGGAGGCCTATATGGTGTGTAAGGACATGGGAGGCCGGTATACTAGGGTAGGCAAGGTGAGGCCAGAATGGTGTGTAAGGACATGGGAGGCTGGTATCCTAGGGTAGGCGAGGCTAGTATGGTGTCCTCAGAGGGGGAGGGGAGGCCTGTATAGTATGGTGTATAAGGTCATGGGAGTCCGGTATACTATGGTAGGCGAGGTGAGGCCAGTATGGTGTCCACATAGGGAAAGGAGAGGCCTGTATGGTGTGTAAGGACATGGGAGGCTGGTATCCTAGGGTAGGGGAGGCCAGTATGGTGTCCTCAGAGGGGGAGGGGGGCCAGTAGGTCCTCAGGGGGGGAGGAGGGGAGGCCAGTATGGTGTTCTCATAGGGGGACTCCAGTATAGTGTGTAAGGACATGGGAGGCTGGTATCCTAGGGGGTATGGTGTCCTCAGGGGGGGAGGAGGGGAGGCCAGTATGGTGTTCCACATAGTAAGGAAAGGGAGTAGGCCTGTATGGTGTCCTAAGGAGGCCTGTATATGGGAGAGTCCGGTATACTATGGTATGAGGCCTATGGGTAGGGGAGAGGCCATGGTGTGTAAGGACATGGGAGGCCGGTATCCTAGGGTAGGCGAGGCCAGTATGGTAACCTCAGAGGGGGGGAGGGGAGGCCAGTATAGTATGTAAGGTGGGAGGTGTATCCTAGGGTAGGGGACAGTATGGTGTCCTCAGGGGGGGAGGGGAGGCCTGGGTGTCCTCAATGGGGAGGGGGAACTGCTATGGCATATTGGTATCCTATTGCAAGGGGAGCCCACTATGGGGCGATCTAGTTGAAGTCCGCCCCTCATTGTCAGTAATTCTCTCCACAGATCGGTGATCATGGCTCAGTTTGTCTTTGAAAACGACCTGAACAGCATCCTCAAGCTGGACACCCCCATCACAAACGCCCCCCTGGCCCGATGGCAGCGGAAGGCAAAGGAAGGGAGCTGCTCATCCACCAATACGTCCATCAATACCAGCGCCCTGTCCCCGATGAAGGCCGTAAACCGCTCACACAGCTCCAGCAAGACCCCATCCAAGACCCCAGGTGTGATCGATGTTACAGGATGGTGGGGGGAGGGGCGGAATGATAAATGTGTAACCTCAGAGATCCAGGAAGAGTCTTGATTACAAATGAGATGTATCTGGGGAGGTTTTACCTGTCTGAGATTTAGTTTTTTTGTCAATCCAGGACTTAAGATTCACACGACTCTGTAAACAGGAGGAGGGGTGAGCAAATGGGATCTCTCCTTGTCCATTCACAGAATGTCTCGCATTATATGAACAGTGTACAAGACTTTTGTGAATGAATGAGGGGGGTTGGATGTTTGGCTACAGAACAATATTTACACTGAGGGCTGGAACTTGCACAGTGCAGAAAGAGGAGCACTGACGTTGGTATCAAGCATCGTTGACTCTTTAAACTATCTAGACTTCACCTCCTTGTCCAATCAGAGAATGTCTCGCAATCACTAAGAAGTACAAGGCATTCTGTGAACGCAGGGCAGCTGCTGCTTGGACCCCGAAGATGGCGGCAATCACAGTGCTTCTTCACTTCCTTAGGTATAACCTGTAAACATACTTTGGTCCAAGGTGGAGCAGCTATAGAGGAACTTCAGTCCTTCTCTTCTCCCCTCTCTGGAGCTGCCTCTTTGGCTGTGGAGATGTGCCTTCAGGTCCCGGCAGATCTGCACACAATGGAAATCTCCCAGGCATGCGCAGAGACTGCAAATCTATGACTTCACGTGTGCCTTGGAGACCTGCGTATGCGCAGATGCCCTGCACCTCATCCGTGCACGTGCAGGGGGCGGGGCAAATGCACGCCATCATCGCCCAGGCTAGAAATGAAGAAAAATGCACCTCCCCATTGAGGTCTGCTTCACACCAATGCATGCTTTTGCAGAAATGCTAATGCTACAGTCCATTTAACTGGGTCCCTTTGGGTATCACATATGCTTTTTTTTTTTTTCTTGAAAGGGTTGGACTTTTTAAAAACGCCAAACCTTGCACATTTTTTGTTTAACTCCTTCCAGTCCGGACACTTTCACCCCCTTCCTGTCCAGGCTAATTTTCAGCTTTCAGCGCTGTCACACTTTGACAATTGCGCGGTCATACAACACTGTACCCATATGAATTTTTTTTGAGACAGATAAAACTTTATTTTGGTGATATTTATTCACCACTGGGATTATTTTTTTGCTATATAAATGAGAGTCCAAAAATTTTGAGTTTTTTTTCTTCTAAAATTTTGCAAATATTTCATCATAAAATGGCCAAAATTTATCCCGTTATCTTTTTAGTATAAAAAAAATAACCCAAATTAGTTTATAACTAAAAATTATAATTAAAATATAAAATTAAAATGTAAAAAAAAAAAAAAAAAGTTTAACATACTGTCTCCCTAGCAGTAGTGTCACCCTTGGTGACACTACTACTTGTGGGGGATGATGGTGGTTTTTTTTATGTTTTTTCTTTACACTGATTGCTTTTACACCCATAAAGGCTGTAAAATCAATCATTTCTCCTTCTCTCTGGCTGCATTCCTGCAGCCATTGCGAACTACTGTGAGCTGTGATTGGTCACAGCTTGTCACATGGTACAAAGCTGTTGTGAATAGCCCTGTACCATGTGTTCCCTGTGATTTGTTCACAGAATTCACATGTAGTAAGCAATTATGTCAGAAGTGATATCTTGCTTACTACTCTGCATGTGATCATTGATTGGCCAATCAGTGATCACATGATCAGGACCTCACACAGAGGTCCCACCCGATCGGTGTTCCACTGTGTCCGGAGGACACAGCAGGCACTGGATAGCGGTGCTGCACGCTCCCAGTGAGCGCGCACAAGCAGGGGGCGGGGGAGGTTGTTTATAAACAGCCAACCGACCCTGCACTGCCACCGTCCGGCCATTTTTTTTTATATATACAATGGCTGGACGGGAAGTGGTTAATGGACTTCGATGGAGATGCTGCAGAAAACCCATGTAGTGCGGTTATGATGCAATTTGCACTCTAATCTGCCCAGCAACAAGATCACCAAAAGTGTCAAACGCACTGCAAAACTCAAGCTACATTGGTGTGAACTTGGCCTCTGAAATGCATCAAAAATGCACACGTGTTGCGTTTGTTTGGGGGGGGGGGGGATTCCCCCAATTTTCTAGAGTTGCTTTGGTCTGTCTATAACCAAAACTTTTTTTTGTGAAAGGGGTTCTGAAGATTGGTGTGGGGTCTCTTTAAAAAAAAAAAAAAAAAAAAGCATGTCATACTTACCTGCACTGTAATGGTTTTGCACAGAGCAGCCCAGATCCTCTTCTGGGGTCCCCAGCTGATCCTCCTGGCTCCTCTTCCCTCCTGTCCTGATGAGTTGTCCCAGGAATAAATTCCCCCTCCCCCATGCCAACTGTATCCTTGGAAAGGAAATGAACTTCCAAATCTGATTTTGGGGCGGAGTTTGGTTAACCATTCCCTGAGTGGGATGTTGGGTATTCTTCTGGTGATCTGACCTTTTTTTAAAGGTGATGTTTTTCCCTTTCAGGGAAGTCCCAGGGTAAAATGCAGGGAACACCTTCCAGAGTTGGAGGAGATCGCTTCATACCCAACCGAAGTGCAATGCAGATGGATGTGGCCAGCTTCCTGCTAAGTAAAGAGAACGAGCCTGCAGAGCAATCTCCAACCAAGAAGGTCAGTATAGCCTTCTACAGTCACTTGGGTTGGCCTCCTACTGCAGAACGGTCCTTTCATTGTCCTGTATGGTCAGTCAGAAGACTGGCTGTGCATCTGGTGGTGGTGTTGGCTGTGCATCTGGTGGTGGTGTTGGCTGTGCATCTGGTGGTGGTGTTGGCTGTGCATCTGGTGGTGGTGTTGGCTGTGCATCTGGTGGTGGTGTTGGCTGTGCATCTGGTGGTGGTGTTGGCTGTGCATCTGGTGGTGGTGTTGGCTGTGCATCTGGTGGTGGTGTTGGCTGTGCATCTGGTGGTGGTGTTGGCTGTGCATCTGGTGGTGGTGTTGGCTGTGCATCTGGTGGTGGTGTTGGCTGTGCATCTGGTGGTGGTGTTGGCTGTGCATCTGGTGGTGGTGTTGGCTGTGCATCTGGTGGTGGTGTTGGCACTTCATAAGAATATCGGCTAACCTGAGACCTAATTCCCGGCTGACAAGCCCTGGGAGGGATTGGTTCAGTTTTCCTCACCAGCCAGGCCAGCTATGGAAATGGTTGGTGGGGTGTGGTTCAGAACATGTATGAAACTGGAATCTGGAGCACATGCTGACCAAGGTGCTATATGGATTTTGGAAAGGTAAGTTAAAAGAGCATTTGGGGTCCAATAAGATGGAATATGTGCTACACTTGTTTAAGAATAGCTATGAGTACAGTGAACTAATCCGTTTTGAGGGAACGGACTCCCCTCTTCACAGCCTCAAGTTTGATGCAGGAAACTCCTGCAGGGGAAGGGAGACCTGTGTGAAATTTAGTTGGGGAGCCTACAGCTGCCAGCCTTCAGCACATTTGGTTTCCTAGGTTATTCTATGTATACAAAACACTGAATTGGCATTCCCAGAGAATCCCGAGGTTGTTTTTGCTCTAAGGCTGAACTGCAGCCAGGAGAAATAGAATATTGGCGCAGTGGCGGCTTACCTCTTTACACCCATCTCCGGGTAAGGAGAGAATACTCTCTTGCAGTGTGGCTGCACCAACCTAGCAGGGGCTAGATTGGTTGTAAGGCTCAAGGTTTTTTCCATGAAGGTAAAATAAACTTGTGCAGCAGCCCCCCTAGGACTTGCCTAAGCCCCCTCTCAATCCAGAGATGTGCATGACTTTGGCTTCCCTTGGTCTTAACCCCCCCCCCCCCCCTTGTTGGCTGATATAGCAGCGAGAGCCATTGGCTCCTGCTACTGTGAATCGCAGCTAGTCAGCCAATGAGGAGAGTGGGGGTGCAAATCCAAGCCGCACTCAGTGTGTGTGTGTGTGTGTGTGTGTGTGTCCCAAGAAGAGGATTGGGGCTGCTCTGTGTAAAACCATTACACAGAGCAGGTAAGTATAGCGTGGTGGTGGTTACTTTAAATGCTAGTTTAGATCTAGGGTACAAGTAAAAGCACTCTTGCATACCCAGTACCCCTCAAGCTCCCTACACACTGCTAGACTAATCACAGCAGCTTCTTCACACCCACATGGTGGTTACAGGTGCTCTGATGTCATGAAGTACAATGTAGGGTCTGTATCCCTGCACTGGATGGAGTACTCCAAATGTCCACCTTGGGAGCGTTGGAGTTCCCTAAACTAACCTGATCCCTGCTTCCCCGGCAAGAAGGCACACTCTTACTTCCCTACACTCCAGCAATGGACTGTCCCTTGCTATCCTCAATGGCCAGTGCAGGGATGGGCCCTGTATTGTATTTGGCATCAGGGGACCTTAACTACTGCAGAGTAGGAGAGAAGAGACTGATCTGCTCTCAGCATGGGGCATCAGTTAAGGCGGAGCTCCAGTTGAAGAAAAGAATAGTCAGCAGCTACAAAAACTGTACCTGCTGACTTTTTTTTGAAATACTTACCTGTCCCTCCGGTTCAGCGGTGTCCTCACCACGGCTGGTATCACCGGCCATCTTCTCTCGTCGACATCTTCACTGTGGGCACCCGGCTGTGACAGCTTGCGGCTTCACAGCCAGGTGCCCACTACGCATGTGTGAAAAGCACTGCACTTTGTGAATGGCTCCATAGTCTTCTGGGACCTGTTGCGTTTCCCAGAAGACTAGGGGGAGGACGGCTTTAGATCGCCTTAGGCGATCGGGGTGGGAATGGATGTCAAACTTGGGTACCCACACTCTCTCCAAAGGTGCCAATCCTTAATGGGGGCTAAGGCTTAAAGCGGGACTTCCCCTTGGGTTGAGCTCCACTTTGAATAAAAGTGTTTGGTTTGTTTTGTTTTTTGGTTTTTTTTTACTTGTGGTCACACTCATGTGGTGGTTCCAGAGACTGGGATGTCACACTGTTGTGGGTGGGTATGATTAAACAGCACCTGCCCACAGCCATTGTTGGCCGCTATACCACCTTACAAGTGCCTTCCCATGAAATCATGTTAAGTTTTTTCCATCAGGAAACCTGGCCAATGTGACTTGCGTTGTCTGCCTAAATCTCCCACTGGTGCCTAGGCACAGCAAATGTACATAATGAGCCAATGTCACAATTCTTTTGCTTTGGTTTTCAGCCTCAGTTGGGCTACTGTAATGATCAATCTATTTTTCTTTCCCCAGGAGCAGCAGAAGGCTTGGGCTGTCAACCTGAATGGCTTTGACGTGGAAGAGGCAAAAATCTTAAGACTTGGAGGCAAATCCCTTAATGCTCCTGAAGGTGTGTAGAAGAAGCTGTACTTGTGCTCAGGCAATGTGATGTAGACTGTCATCTATAGAGCGTAGCCTGTACTCCTGACTGTTTACAAACTGTTGTCCCCGGTGTTTCTGCACAGCCTGGGGGTAGACTACTCCAGTCACTTACTGGTATAGTGTAACTTGGTGGTTATCACTTCTGGCAGTACTCGGGTCATCGGTTTGAATCCCAACCATGGCCTCACCTGCCTGGAGTTTGCATGTTCTCCCTGTGCCGGTTTCCTCGAGGTACTCCGGTTTCCTCCTACACTCCAAAGCCAGCTGGTAGGTTAATTGTCCCTAGTATGTGTATGTATGAATGTGAGTTGGGGACCTTAGATTGTACGCTCCTCAGGGGCGGGGACTGATGTGAATGTACAGTAAGTGCTGTGTAAATTGTCAGCACAATATAACCATTTCTGCGCTTTGGAAGTTAACTCCTGAATAAAGCCCCTCAGATGTGGGGAGGACATCCATGACTTCATGGGAATGTCCTCTGTATGGAGTTTGGAGGAACCAGAGGAGTTGCGGTCTGGCCCCCCCTACCTGTAATACAGTGTTCTCTTCAATGAAGATGCTCCTATTGGTCCTGTGCTGCTGTCGCAGCTTATGGCTGGTGCTGCCATCTTTGTTCCTGATGTCATTGGGTGCCTCTTCTGGTTCAAGCATCCCCCTGATGACAAGCACCAGGCCTGCCCTCCATGATGTACATATCCCAGGGAGGAGGCTGGAGAAGTCATAATAATTATTATTATTCAGGACTTGTATAGCGCCAACAGTTTGCTCAGCGCTTTACATTATGGGGGGAGACAGTACAGTGACAATACAGTTCAATACAAGAGGGATTAGAGGGCCCTGCTCCTTGGAGCTTACAATCTAGGAGGGAGGGGATAGTGGTAACTGTGGGGGATGGAGTGGTAGGAAGAGTAGAAGATTCCAGTATTAGCTGGGGTAGGCTTCCCTGAAGAGATGTGTTTTCAGACTGCGCCTAAAAGTGAGCAGAGTAGGCAATAGCCTGATAGATTGGCGTAGGGAGTTCCAGAGGATGGGTGAAGCCCTTGAGAAATCCTGGAGATGGGCATGGGAGGAGGAGACAAGGGAGAGCTCGAGTAGGAGGTCTTGCGGGGAGTACGGTTTGGGTGATATTTAGAGACAAGGTCGGTGATGTAATTAGGGGCAGTGTTATAAATGGCTTTATACGTCAGTGTTAGCGGTTTCAATTTTATCCGTTGGGCAATTGGAAGCCAGTGGAGGGATTGGAAGCGAGGGATGGAGGACACTGAGTGGAGGGATTGGCAGAGAGGGATGGCAGATACGGAGCGGTTAGTAAGGTGGGATGAGTCTGGTGGCAGCATTTATGATAGACTGAAGAGGGGATAGCCTGCGATGAGGTGCCAATGAGGAGGAAGTTACAATAGTCAAGGTGAGATATAAGGGAATGGATGAGTTGCTTAGTGGTTTCCGAGGTTAGGAACGGTCGTATCTTGGAGATGTTGCGGCGGTGAAGTCTATTTGAGTTGGTCAGCGATTTGGATTTGGGGCCAAGAGGACAGATGGGAGTCTAGGATTACACATAGTATCCTGGCGTGAGGGGTGGGACTGATGATTGTGTTATTGATCTTGATGGAGAAGTCGGGGGGGGGGGGGGGGGCATGGGCTGGGGGGGAATACTAGGAGCTCAGTTTTGGAAAGGTTGAGTTTGAGGAAGTGGAGTGACATCCATGCCGATATGTCACTTAGTAGGCTTGTGATGCGATTGGAGAGTGAGGGGTAGAGAGCTTTGTCGTACTCGTCTTGGAGAGTGGCACTGAGGGGTCAGGTGGGTATAAAATACAGAAATTTCTCATTTTGTATGCAGTGGATGAACGCAAGGATGTCCATTGCACCCAGGAGTTCATATTCTGCTTGCTATGCAGTCATGTCTGATGTAGGGTGACGTAGCTAGATGTGATTATTTATTTTTATTTCAGGGTATCAAAACAACTTAAAGGTTTTATATAGCCAAAAGGCAACCCCTGGCTCCAGCAAAAAACCGGGCAGGTACATCCCATCCATGCCAGACAGAGTCCTCGATGCTCCTGAGATCAGAAATGATTATTGTAAGTTGGGTCTTGGATGGTTCTGAGTTCTGTTTGTACCTCGTGATACAATGCTTGTCTTTGTTTCAGATCTAAATCTGATCGACTGGAGCTCACAGAACCTGCTGGCTGTAGCTCTGAATGACTCGGTCTACCTCTGGAACTACATGAGCGGGGACATCGTCCTCCTATTGCAGATGGAGAACTCCGAGGAGTACATTTCATCAGTGTCCTGGATCAAAGAGGGGAACTATCTGGCTGTGGGAACCAGCAATGCTGAAGTGCAGGTAGGCTTTCATACATGTGTCCCAGGGGTGTAACTGATGCTATAGCAAACCAGGTAACTGCTGTAGGGGCCAGACCTGACTATGTAGTAAGTTTAATGAATTCCAGGTATGGATATCTTGTACATAGTTACATTGGTCCATTGTAACCATGTATATACCATAGCTGACCGATGCCCCTGAAAGCAGGAAGTCATTTATGTTGAGATCAGGGCACTCTTCCTGCCTCATCCAATGAGACCGCTTGCATTCATTCATTTGATGCAAAGAAAGGTGCCCTTGCCGGGCAGACCACCTGTGTTTGCAATGCAGTAGGGCAGCTGAATAGCACAGAACTCGTAGTGAGTAGAGATCACTGGAGGAGGGGTGTAATGTCCATGCAACGGAACCGACCCCAGACTGCGCTTGGGCACTTTCGTTAAACCACCGCTTTCCCATCCGACAACGGACACCACAGCACACCATACAAAACTAGACACCAGTCTTGAAGTATACCAGGAAATGGACTAGTTTATTTGAACACGGATACAAGATATACACTCAGGGGGCAATCCCCCCTCCCTGCATAATGACAGGGTGGGGCAATCTACAAGAGACACACAGGTATTCAAACTTCACACCAGACATCCTATAATAGTTTGCTCCCAAGCAAGGCAGACAATAGAACAATGGGATGCAGCCCCACAACACCAAACCATCCACAACCCCCACCTATCTCCTATACATGTCTACACAATATTAGGACAGATCACCCTGTACCCCTAACAGGCACAGGGTGATTTCCACATAAGAGGGATATGGGGAGCTGAGACAGGGGTCTCCCCACCTCTCCAAAGTGAGCTGGGTTCCATGGGCCACCCACCCAAAGTGACTCCTGTCGCAGTCCACTTCTGCAAATTCCAGCTTCTAAATGAATTGTACAAATGCCTGTATTGATCCAAGCTGGACTATGTAGTATCCACACCTGGAATTCATATGGGATGCCGAATCTGATCTGATAAAAAGGAATCCATGGGATAGAGGATGGTCAGTTGGTATTGTGCATCATTGGAAGATTTGCACTTCTAATAGAAATTAGAGTCTGGGCCCTATATTTGCTATAGGGCCCTATCACAGGTAATCCTGAAGGTATTGTACTTGAGTGTTCCTAGATAACATCGCTCATCTCTACCCTCTCCAGCTCTGGGATGTTCAGCAGCAGAAGCGTCTGCGCACTATGGTCAGCCATTCATCACGGGTTGGTGCTTTGACCTGGAACAACCACATCCTGTCCAGGTGAGTTTGTTTTGACGAAGGGCAGGGTTCTCTTGTGTACAACCTTTGACTGTAGATGTGTGGTGCTGTCTGACACTTGCTCTGTTTCGGTATCCCAGCGGTTCTCGGACTGGTCACATCCATAACCACGATGTGCGGGTCGCTCAGCATCACATCGCCACGCTGTCCGGACACTCACAGGAAGTCTGTGGCCTGAAATGGTCTCCAGATGGCCGCTACTTGGCCAGCGGGGCCAATGACAACCTGGTGAACATCTGGCCTTGTGACCAGGGGGATTCTGGAGAGTATACACCAGTGCAGACCTTCACACAACACCAGGGGGCGGTCAAGGTGAGCAAGTCCTACAGGTGACATGGTGGATTCTGCCTGGCGTGATGGCATCCTGGCTCTGCTTTGTTGCCTGGGATAAGTGTGCTGCTTTTTTTTTTTTTTTTTTTTTTTTAGTTTTGGGGGGGGGGGGGGGAGAGAGATGTGGGGGGGGGGGAGAGATGTGGACACAATTATAAAATGCAAAACATTTTTGAGATGATAAAAACATTCAGACTGTCATGTCAAAGTACATTACACATTGAAGACCATACGTATTCCATATTGTGTATAATGAATGCCATGTATTGCATGCCTTCTTCAAAAGGGGTAGCCTAGCACAGGGGTGGGCAACTGTGGCCCTCCAGCTGTTGTAGAACTACAAGTCCCATGAGGCATTGCAAAACTGACAGTTACAAGCATGACTCCCTAAGGCTTAATGGGACTTGTTGTTCACCAACAGCTGGAGGGCCACAGTTGCCCACCCCTGGCCTAGCATATGGTAAGGGCCCAAATCCAATCTGCCAAATACGTTTTGAGACCTGCTTTTCCGGGGCCATATCTTGGACCTTACGGACTAATAACACATTGGTACACGGCATACAAACAATCCTGCACAATACAGAATGTATAGTTTGCACAGTCAGTCACAATCAACTGGCCTGTACTGGAAAAGTTTAAAATCAGTGGTGCGTGTATCTGTCAGGAGTGGAGGGGGAAAATCAACAGCCACAGAGATCCCATTGAAGCATTGCATAAAATAAACCGGACAGGAAGTGAAGAGAAATCTCCCCATTTGTGACGCATTAAAAATAAACTCCAATGCTATGTAAACCTGTTTTGACTTTATATACATTTTAAAGCGGAGTTCCACTCACACTGTAAGTCAGTAGCTACAAAAACAACCACTCGCCTATCCCGCGATCTCCTGCCCACAGCCAGTTTCACTAGCTGTCTGGTGTTCCTGGTGCCAGGATCTTCAGTGTAGGTACCCGGCTGTGACACCTTGCAGCTTCACAGCCGAGTGCCCACTGCGCTTCCTGAATGGTGTCCCAGTTTTTTTGGGGTTTTTTTTCTGGGACCTGAAGACTACAGGGAGGGAGGACAACTTCTGATCGCCTAGGCCAGGAGTAGGCAACCTGTAGCTCTCTAGCTGTTGAACTAAATTTCCCATGAGGCATTGCAAAGATTACAAAACTGACAGTTACAGCTATGACTTGCAGAGGCATGATGGAACTTGTAGTCCTGCGGCTCTCAGGTTGCCTACCCCTGACCTAGATTGCAGTGGGACTGTACCTGTCAATTTCAGGTACCCGCTCCCCAAAGGTGCCAATCCTTAATGGGAAGCGGGGGTCCAGTCTTTAAAGCAGAACTTCCCCTTTTGGGTGGAACTCCACTATAAAGTCTCCAAATGATCATTCTGTGTTGGAATTATTTTGGTGGAGTTGAGGCTTCTTTCGGAGTTGCAGTAGATGCTTTGTGCAGTATAAAGGACTGTAACATGCATGTCCCCATGATCTTCCCAGACTAGCTATTTTTTTTTACTTTTTTTTTTTTTTTTTTTTTTTTTTTTTTTTATATAAGCACCAATGACATGGAACATGGCGATGTCTGTCTTCCTCAGTCTGGGTGTGGGGAGGGTTCTCTGGTGTTGTCTTTCTGCACCAGTCCATTGGCTGCATTGAGCTAAACTCCATAATGCATGTAGTCACACTTGGGCAGTTTTGCACAGTCAGGGTAGGCATCTTTCCCTGTCACCACTACTTTACCCACACTTGTGCTTTGAGTAACCAGTCCATCAAACTATAGATGGGGAAATTTAAGTGTTACTGAACCCACAACAGTACAATCAGTCTGTAGATGCAGTAAAGCATGCTTGTTATACTCACTGTGGAACCTAAGGGGTTAATCCTCTGCATTGTGTAACAAGACTGTTTGATCCTGTCTTCTCTGATCCTCCCCTTTTTTTGCTTTTCCAATCCATCTGATAGTACAGAGCAGCAGTGGCAGGTCTGCACATGCTCAGTTTGGGGTGTATTGCTAGAGTTTTCTTTCTTTGGGTGGGAGCATGTGACAAGCACAGGGCCAATCAGTGTTATCCAGACAGTGGGTCAGGGGTCATACAAGACTGCTGATGAGAGAAGGTATTTAGCAGTTTATATTTGCTAACATAATTGCATTTCCATGTGTGTACTGTGTGGGGAGACTCGATATAGTGAATGCAGGGTCTGGGGAGCAGATATAATGAATGCGGGGTCTGGGGAGCAGATATAGTGAATGCGGGGTCTGGGGAGCAGATATAGTAAATGCGGGGTCTGGGGGAGCAGATATAGTGAATGCGGATATAGTGAGTGCGGGGGTCTGGGGAGAGCGGATATAGTGAGTGCGGGGGTCTGCGGGGGTCTGGGGGAGCGGATATAGTGAGTGCGGGGGTCTGGGGAGAGCGGATATAGTGATGCGGGGTCTGGGGGGATATAGTGAGTGCGGGGGTCTGGGGAGAGGATATAGTGAATGCGGGGTCTGGGAGAGCGGATATAGTGAGTGCGGGGGTCTGGGGAGAGCGGATATAGTGAGTGCGGGGGTCTGGGGAGAGCGGATATAGTGAGTGCGGGGGTCTGGGGAGAGCGGATATAGTGAGTGCGGGGGTCTGGGGAGGGATCTAGTGAGTGCGGGGGTCTGGAGAGCGGATATAGTGAGTGCGGGGGTCTGGGGAGAGCGGATATAGTGAGTGCGGGGGTCTGGGGAGAGCGGATATAGTGAGTGCGGGGGTCTGGGGAGAGCGGATCTAGTGAGTGCGGGGGTCTGGGGAGAGCGGATATAGTGAGTGCGGGGGTCTGGGGAGAGCGGATATAGTGAGTGCGGGGGTCTGGGGAGAGCGGATCTAGTGAGTGCGGGGGTCTGGGGAGAGCGGATCTAGTGAGTGCGGGGGTCTGGGGAGAGCGGATCTAGTGAGTGCGGGGGTCTGGGGGAGAGCGGATATAGTGAGTGCGGGGGTCTGGGGAGAGCGGATCTAGTGAGTGCGGGGGTCTGGGGAGAGCGGATATAGTGAGTGCGGGGGTCTGGGGAGAGCGGATATAGTGAGTGCGGGGGTCTGGGGAGAGCGGATATAGTGAGTGCGGGGGTCTGGGGAGAGCGGATATAGTGAGTGCGGGGTCCTGGGGAGACCGGATATAGTGAGTGCGGGGTCCGGGGTTTAGGAACCCTTTTTTCAGTGGTCTCAGACTGCCAGCACCCCCTCCCTACAAGGTCAGGAGCAGTATGATGGCTGCAAGTCTAAGCTGCAGTAGGCCTGTTTTAATACTGGTCACCCTGTATTGGGCAGGCAGCAGCGATTGGTTGTTGTGAAAGGAATTCATACAACTGCTTCAGTCTTGGGAGGTTTTGAGAATGGCAGCATTGCTACAGAGATCTCAGTCAAACTCTGACCCAAGGCATTTACATTCAGAATTTTTGGTTTATATGCCCGGAGTTCATCTTTGGAGCACAAACTTTTTATTGAGCAATTAGAATGAGCTGCAGCTTCGGGAGGATACTGACTCTTGTGCGTTTTTTCTCAGGCTGTGGCCTGGTGCCCATGGCAGTCCAACGTCCTGGCAACCGGTGGGGGAACAAGTGACAGACACATCAGAATCTGGAACGTGTGCTCTGGAACGTGCCTAAATTCTGTGGACACCCACTCCCAGGTAAGTGATGACAGCTGGTTTGTCTTCTGTCTCTTAGGATGGTTTTCGTCTTACTAAAAGCACACATTTTTCCCCAGGTCTGCTCTATTCTGTGGTCCACAACGTACAAAGAACTCATCTCTGGCCATGGGTTTGCACAGAACCAGCTTGTGATCTGGAAGTATCCCACAATGACCCGGGTTACTGAGCTAAAAGGTAAGAGGGCTGCAATACCTAGAAATAACACGTGTGTCTGTCCTGGACCAGAGGGCTATGGCCTGGAGGTTCCTTCTGTTTGGCATCTCTGGGACCAGCAGTGAGTCTCCAAAGTGAAGAATTCCACTTGTGGTCAGTCCTGGTCCTGGAGACTCAGCCAGACTTGGCTCAGCAGCAGATGGGGAAGACTCCATAGTGCTGCAGAACATGGGTCCTGTATACTGTACAGTGAAGGAAATGCATATTTGCTCCCCTGCTGATGTTGAATGTTTGCCCCTCACAAAGAAATGATCGGTCTAAAAATCTAATGTTCGGTGTATTGTAGCACTGAGACAGAATAGCAGCAACAAATTCAGCAGCAATGCATCTAACAAATGATGACTGATCTGCATGTTCATGAGGGAAATAAGGATTTGATCCCCTTCACCAAACATGACTTAGTACTTGGTGGCAAATCCCTTGTTGGCAATCAGAGCTCAGATGTTTCCTGGAGTTGGCCACCAGGTTTGCACACATCTCAGGAGGGATTTTGGCCCACTCCTCTTGGCAGATCCCCTCCAAGTCATTAAGGTTTGGTGGCTGATGTTTGGCAACTCTAACTTTCAGTTCCCTCCACAGATTTTCAATCCGGATTAAAATCTGGAGACTGGCTAGGCCACTCCAGGACCTCAATGTGCTTCTTGAGCCACTCCTTTGTTGCCTTGGCTGTGTGTTTTGGGTCATTGTCATGCTGGAACACCCATCCACCACCCATTTTCAATGCCCTGGCTGAGGGAAGAAGGTTCTCACCCAAGATTTGACAGTACATTACCCTTTGATGTGGTGCAGTTATGTCCCCTTAGCAGAAAAACACACCCCCAAAGCAGAATGTTTTCCACCACTATGTTTCATAGTTGGATGGTGTTCTTGGTGTCATAGGCAGCATTCCTCCTCCAAACACGGCGAGTTGAGTTGATGCCAAAGAGCTGGATTTTGGTCTCATCTGACCACAACACTTCCCACCAGTCCTCCTCTGCGTCATTCAGATGTTCAGTGGCCAACTTCAGACGGGCCTGGACATGTGCTTTCTTGAGCAGAGGGACCTTGCGGGCACTGCAGGATTTCAGTCCTTGTCGGCGTAGTGTGTTGCCAATTGTTTTCTTGGTGACTGTGGTCCCAGCTGCCTGGAGATCATTGACAAGATCCTCACGTGTAGTTCTGGATGATTCCTCACTGTTCTCATGATCATGGACACTCCACGAGGGGAGATCTTGCATGGTGCACCAGACCTAGGGAGACTGACACTTGTTTTGTGTTTCTTCCATTTGTGAATGATTGCACCAACTGTTGTCACCTTCTCACCAAGCTGCTTGGCCATAGTTTGGTAGCCCAGTCCAGCCTTGTGTAGGTCTACCATCTTGTCCCTGACCTCCTTGGACAGCTCTTTGGTCTTTGCCATGGTGGAGAGTTTGGAATCTGATGGTTTGATGGCTCCTGTGGACAGGTGTCTTTTTTATACAGGTAACAAAATGAGATTAGCAGCACTCCCTTTAAGAGACTGCTTCTAATCTCAGCTTGTTACCTGTATGAAAGACACCTGGGTAACCAGAAATCCTGCTGAATGATAGGGGATCAAATACTTATTTCCCTCATGAACATGCAAATCGTCATTTGTTTGACAGAATAGCAACAAAAAAAAACTAAAAAGAAAAAAGAAATGCATGTCTGTGTTACAATACACCTACCATTCGATTTTTAGACTGATCATTTCTTTGTGAGGGGCAAACATTCAAAATCAGCCAGAGATCAAATACTTATTTCCTTCACTGTATATAGCTGATACTATGGCATGATACAGCATGACAGCCATGCAGGTTCCTGAATGCAGACAGTGTGCATTCAGAATGCACCAACACGGCTGCAAAACTGGGGCAACAGCTACTGTATTCATGGAGCTGCTACTGTGTGTCCCAGTTGGCATGAATGAGACTGCCTGCAGAGGATCACCTGTGCCTCCTGCACTAGCATACATGTCCCTTGCATAGGTGTACGCCTCGTCAAGCTGACCTTCACTCTTACATGTTCCCTCCACACCACTCTTCAACCTGTATATGTGGGCAGGGCTGTGGATAAGGGGGTACCACCAGTCTTCCTGTACGGAGCGCAGGCCAGCGGGGGGGGGTCCAGGTTGAATCAGATGTGGGCAGAGAGGGGTGGCTTCTTTCAGCTGCTGCAGAGAGCCATATAGGGGATCGGTTCCAGTAATTGCCTCTGCCACACTATTGGCATCCCTGTGCACCATACATTTTCCCCTGCTGCCAAGACCCCCTGTGTACACCCACAGTGCTGCCAGCTTTCTCCCTTTCCCCACCCCCCCCCCCCCCCCCCCCCCCCCCCCCCCCCCCCCCCCCCCCCCCCCCCCCCCCCCCCCCCCCCTCTCCCTTTTCATCCTGAAAGATCCCATTATATGCTTGCAGCTGCTGGAGTAGTGGGGGGGGGGGGGGGGGGGGGAAAGTGTCTGGTAAATGGCACATGTACTAGCCCCTTCCTTTCCTGAATGAAAACAGTGAGTGATTGTTACTGATCATTCATAATTGAACCATATTTATTTCTTTTGGGCCCCGTCAGGTTGCTGTATGGGGTCTCACAGCGGTTTTGAACAGCAGTCCTGTACGTGCATGTTTTCTTGAGCAAAACTGTTTGGCCCACCCCCCCCCCCCCCCCCATCATCCCATCATGCATGACCTGCACACTGCCTGCTGTACCTCCTGGGATATGCACTTCACAGGAGGCATAGCCTTCCATTTTGTAAAGGAAGAGTGTTGGCCTATCAATGCATCTTTGGGAAGCCTTCCTGCTGAACCCAGAAGAGCTGGTGGACCTTTGTCAGAGCATGGCAGCATGGGAGGACCTCAGTGGGACAACACTGGATGGGTATCTGAAATATGCAGATACCACCTTCAGGTATGCATTGGTTGAAAAAAAAAAAGGGGGGAGATGCAAGTGGAGATCTACTTTCATGACAAGGCCTTTGTAATGGAAATTGTTTGCTGGTCCAAATGAACTATTTTAAATTTGGTTTAACGCTCCAGGCCAGGTCCCATCACCAAAGGAGGGCGTTGAACCCAACTTCTAGAAGTGGCTCGACCAGAGGCACTGCACCCTCATCTGTATTCATATTGTCTGATTCAATATACGGCTGAGTATCTCCAGGGGGGTTGGGCATGGACAAAAATGCAGAATTGTATATCAAATGCTTTAATGAGACATTTATTGGAGTGTGTGCACGGTACCTGCATCTCCATCCTTGTTACATAGTCTGGCTGAAAGACAAAAGTTCAACCAAAAAGTTTTTTTTTTTTTATAATCCTACACCCACAGTTGATCAAAAAACAGGAAGGCAAAAAACCCACCAAAGCACGATCCAATTTGCTGCTGCAAGGAAACCAATTCTTCCTGATCCCCCGAGAGGCAATCAGATATTCCCTGGATCAACGTTGCCTATAAATGTAGAATACATCTTTGTTATCCAGTTATGTTCTGTGTATGTAAGTTCAGATGAGCCTTGCGTTGTCCTCCCCAGGTCACAGTGCACGGGTCCTCAATCTTGCGATGAGTCCAGATGGCTGCACCGTGGCCTCTGCCGCAGCAGATGAGACCTTGCGACTGTGGAAGTGCTTCGAGGTGGATCCCGTCACCAAGAAGGAAAAGGAGAAGGCCAGGAGCAGCAGCAAAAGCATCATCCATCAGAGCATCCGATGAGACCCGACTGACCCCCTTTTTTTTTTTTTTTTTTGTTTTTAATCGCTCACATGTAAATATTTGAAATAAAAGTTTCTGTATCCTTGAAGTGTAAATGTTGGAGAATTTGCCCTTATTTCAGTCACTGGTTTTAATTGACTACTGTAAAAAAAAATCTATTTGATGGATTTCTATGAATTAACTACACATTTGTATGAACAAAGTTCTATTAAACACATTTTTTTTTAAATGCCCCATTTGTGACACTTGTGGGGGGGGGGGGGGCACTGGAGCAGGAATCTCATGTAGGGTGATTGGGGGGGCGGCGCATATACTGACTGTAGCAGATCTGAGTGTTTTGTAATTCAAGCTGATCGGTTTTTTTTAGTGTTCTGTAGTTTGCAAATGAGAACTTGGCAGGTATGACACCATTGCTTTTGGATTTTGGTGCAATGCTCACTATAGGAAGTTCTCTGGATTTCTAGCATTTCAATGGGTATTCTGTATTGGCAGATACATCCTAGAGACATTTTGCATGCATGGCCCAGGCATATACATATTAAGGCTCCCTTCACATATAGGCATTTTGCTTTCTCCAGTGCTTTTTTGCAGGAGTGTGCATGTGATTTTGACCAGGTTTTGGATTTTTTTATGTAGATAGAATAAATATAATGTGTGTTTTTTTTTTTTTTTTTTTTTTTTTTTTTTTGTTTTTTTTTTTTGGGGACAATAAAAATGCAAAACTCACTACCATGCATTTCAGCAGCTTCTACTCTGACCTCGTTTGTAGCAAACGCTGCTTTTTAAAAGTCCCTGACCCTTTCCAAAAAGGCAGCAGCGCAAAAAAGGCATAGATAGGAACGTTTCATAGGAAACCATGTTACATGGATTGTAGTGATTCTGCAAAAAGCAATAAAAAGGAAAACCAAAGCAGAGCCTTAAACTAGGGTCTTCAATGCTGTCTGGGAAGTGAATACAATTGCAGAATGTCTGAAGATTCATGTAAACTGGCCTTTACTAATCATCTAATAAAATTATGACTTAAGATTGGCATGATCATTGCGGCACTGTCATTAACCAAGGTTCACACCTAACGCAGGTTGTGTTTTGTGTGTTGCGTTGCCGTTTTTTTTTTTTTTTTTTTTTTTTTTTAATGCGGTTTAATTTTTGCTTGTTGCTAGGCAGATTTTAAACAATGTGGCAAAAAGGCATTGTGTGCTTTTCTGCAGCATTCCCATTTGATGTCCTTTTTTAGAGCCAAAAACGTGTGTGTGTTCGTTCAATCCTTTCCAAAAGAATGTACTGGGTGAACATGTCCCATAGGAAATCATGTTAAATGTAATGTGTTTCTGCAAAACTCATAGGTGTGAAGTTGGGGGTTAGATTTAGACTGACTACTGGAAGATTGGGGGGGGGGGGGGTGTAGTGGAATTGCAGACTTCTCTAGCCAGGGTCACCTTATTTGGCTTGAGTATGAGGGATGGGTCACACCAGATGCAGTTCAGTTCCCCCCTCCACCCCCCCCCCCCCCCCCCCCCCCCCCAATAACATTGGAACCCATACACCAGATGCAGTACAGGGTGTGTCATGCCCCCCCTCTTCTCTATACCATTGGAACCCATACACTAGATGCAGTACAGGGTGTGTTGTTCCCCCCCCCCCCCCCCATTCTCTACACCATTGGAACCCATACACCAGATGCAGTACAAGGTGTGGGTTGTGCCCCCCCCCCTTCTCTATAGCATTGGTTTCCCTCCCCCCCTTCTCTATAGCATTGGAACCCATACACCAGATGCAGTACAGGGTGTGTCGTTTCCCTCCCCCCCTTTCTATACCATTGGAACCCATATAACCTATTGTCCATGCACTGTGCTCCAGTGCAGTCTTAAAAAAAATAATAATAATAAAATAGAACCTGCATTTTTCTGCACTGGAATGGAATGCATCTAAATGCACTAGAACACATTACAGCAAAAAAAAAAAAACAAACTCAGGAAACCTTGGAAAAAAAAAAAGGTATGGGGATAAAAAGCACTGGGAACACATTAAAAATGTGCATGCAGGTTCATGTTTTGGAACACATCCGGAATGTTTCTGTGGCATGTACCTAGGCGAGGGTGACTTCTGCCATACCATTGTCACTGTGGTTATGTAATGTTACTTGGATGTAACTTTCAATAAGGTTTATATGTTCTGAGGCTGGAATTGCACCAAGTAGTACAGGAACCTCTTCCAAAATGGCTACATTGAATTTGATGAGAACAGGCACCATTGAAAATGGGGCCAGATCTAGCATGTCTGATTTGGGGGTGCAGTAAAAATGTTGGGGGGTGGCAGAGGATGCTAGGTTAGCAGGGCTGTTGTCAATAGAGCAGTGTACAGGGGTTACCATGGCTGAGGACAGGACAGAAGATGGGGGTGGACAGGAGTCAGCATGGCAGATGACTGGTCAGCAGAATTGAGGACAGGGTCCCTGTTGGCAGGACACTTAAGAAATCTCATCCCCCACACAGCCCATAGCTGGAATCTGTCTGTGTCCCTCCACACAGCGTGTAGCTGGAATCTGTCTGTGTCCCTCCACACAGCGTGTAGCTGGCTACTGCAGCTGCCAATCCAATAAGGAAGTTTCACAGGTCAGAACTGCAGCTTTAGCCAGCTACACAGTGTGCAGATTGATGCTGTGAGGAATCTGATCTCAGCTATGTGTTGTGTGGGGAGATCTGTTGAGTGCCTTGTGTGCAGTGCAGAAAGTGCCAGGACAAGGTTGTCTAGCACTCAATGTGAAGATGACAAACTGTGCCCCCCCCCCCCCCCCCCAAAAAAAAAATCACTAAACATGCTCACCTCCAAAGCTTAAATTTCTTCTGCAAGCCCAAATTCTACCCAAAAATGCTAATTCCCCATCCTCACAGTCCAAACCCCACTTCTCAAATCTCCCAATCCCTAACAAATCTTCCATGCCCCAAAAATCACCCCTGAGTGTAGTACTTCATCTCAGCCAATAGATGGCAAACTTTTCCTGAGTGTAGTACTACATCTCAGCCAACAGATGGCAGGCTTTTCCTCAGTGTAGTACTCCTCATACCACTTTTCCTGAGTGCAAATTTGCATATATTTGAGTAATTCCACACTGTTTGAGGGCTGAGCCAAACGGAAAAGTTTTAAAATTAGTTTAACCATGGTCCTTTGCGATATTGTGCAACAAAAAAAGGAAAGGGGAGAGAGGGAGTGAGCAAATATGCTAATTAGATACATTGCTCTCCCTAAGTTGACACAGTGCGGTCACAAAGTATCCTAGTTTTTACTAGCTCTAGCTAAACATTAAAGGAAGAGTTGCAAATTGTTGTGACCATGGTCCTTTGCAATTAGATCTGAACACTAGATGTCACACTTTCATGAGTGTAGTACTTTTCACTTCATTGCAGCCACTAGATGTCAGACTTTTCCTGAGTGTAGTACTACATCTCAGCCAACAGATGGCAGACTTTTCCTGAGTGTAGTACTCCTCACAGCCAACAGATGGCAGACTTTTCCTGAGTGTAGTACTCACAGCCACCAGATGGCAGACTTTTCCTGAGTGTAGTACTCCTCACAGCCACTTGATGTCACACTTTTTCTGAGTGTAGTACTACATCTCAGCCAACAGATGGCAGACTTTTCCTGACTGTAGTACTACATCTCAGCCAACAGATGTCAGACTTTTCCTTAGTGTAGTACTCCTCACAGCCAACAGATGGCAGACTTTTCCTGAGTGTAATACTACATCTCAGCAAACAGATGGCTGACTTTTCCTGAGTGTAGTACTCCTCGTAGCCACTAGATGTTAGACTTTTCCTGAGTGTAGTACTCCTCACAGCCAACAGATGGCAGACTTTTCCTGAGTGTGGTACTTCTCACAGCCAACAGATGGCAGACTTTTCCTGAGTGTAGTACTTCATCTCAGCCAACAGATGGCAGACTTTTCCTGAGTGTAGTACTTCATCACAGCCAACAGATCGCAGACTTTTCCTGAGTGTAGTACTCCTCACAGCCAACAGATGGCAGACTTTTCCTTAATGTAGTACTACATCTCAGCCAACAGATGGGAGACTTTTCCTGAGTGTAGTACTCCTCGCAGCCACTAGATCAGGGGTGGGCAAACTTTTTGACTTGAGGGCCGCAATGGGTTCATATATTGGACCCGGGGGCCGGACCAAGAGTAGATGAATGATGTGTATGTGTCATCCATAGTAAGTATAGTAATATTCCCCCATAGTAAGCATAGTAATTAATCCCCCATATAGTAATTCATCCCCCATATAGTAATTCGTCCCCCATAGTAATTCATCCCCCACATAGTAATTCATCCCCCACATAGTAATTCATCCCCCACATAGTAATTCATCCCCCATATAGTAAGTCCTCCATATAGTAATTCATTCCCCATATAGTAAGTCCTCCATATAGTAATTCATTCCCCATATAGTAAGTCCTCCATATAGTAATTCATTCCCCATATAGTAAGTCCCCCATATAGTAATTCATTCCCCATATAGTAAGTCCCCCATATAGTAATTAATTCCCCATATAGTAAGTCCCCCATATAGTAATTCATCCCCCATATAGTAAGTCCTCCATATAGTAATTCATCCCCCATATAGTAAGTCCCCCATATAGTAATTCATTCCCCATATAGTAAGTCCTCCATATAGTAATTAATTCCCCATATAGTAAGTCCCCCATATAGTAATTCATCATTCCCCATATAGTAAGTCCCCCCTATAGTAATTCATCCCCCATATAGTAAGTCCCCCATATAGTAAGTCCCCCCCCTGTGTCAATTCACTTACCTTTGGTCCGCGCGTTCCTCTCGTATTCCCGCGCCGTTCTGGTCTTCAGGGAGGACTGTGAGAGGAGTTCGTCACGCTGCCCCGCCTACATCCTGGCTGCCCCGCCTACATCCTGACAGCTGCAGAGTCCTGACGTCCGAGAGGAGGGAGGGGGGCGGCCATCCGAGAGGGGGGGCGGCCATCCGAGAGGAGAGGAGGGAGGGGAGCGGGCGCCCGGCACACAGGAGAGCCGCATCTAAATTTGTAAAGAGCCGCGGCTTGCCGACCACTGGCCTTGCGGGAGCCTAGCTCCGCGGGCCGGATTAAAAGGTCCGCCGGGCCGTATACGGCCCGCGGGCCGTAGTTTGCCCATTGCTGCACTAGATGTTAGACTTTTCCTTAGTGTAGTACTTCATCTCAGCCAACAGATGGCAGACTTTTCCTGAGTGTAGTACTCACAGCCAACAGATGGCAACTTTTCCACAGTGTAGTACTCCTCACAGCCAACAGATGACAGACTTTTCCTGAGTTTAGTACTCCTCACAGCTACTTGATGTCACACTTTTTCTGAGTGTAGTACTACATCTCCTCAGCCAACAGATGGCAGACTTTTCCTGAGTGTAGTACTACATCTCAGCCAATAGATGGCAGACTTTTCCTGAGTGTAGTGCTCCTCACAGCCAACAGATGGCAGACATTTCCTGAGTGTAGTACTCCTCACAGCCAACAGATGGCAGACTTTTCCTGAGTGTAGTACCCCTAACAGCCAACAGATGGCAGACTTTTCCTGAGTGTAGTACTCTTCACAGCCACTAGATGTCACACATTTTCTGAGTGTAGTACCACATCTCAGCCAAGAGATGGCAGACTTTTCCTGAGTGTAATACTTAATCTCAGCCAATAGATGGCAGACTTTTCTTAAGTGTAGTACTCCTCACAGCCACTAGATGTCACACTTTTTCTGAGTGTAGTACTCCTCACAGCCAATGAATGGCAGACTTTTCCTGAGTGTAGTACCACATCTCAGCGAACAGATGGCAGACTTTTTCTGAGTGTAGTACTCCTCACAGCCAACAGATGGCAGACTTTTCCTGAGTGTAGTACTACATCTCAGCCAACAGATGGCAGACTTTTCCTGAGTAAAGTACTACATCTCAGCCAACAGATGGCAGACTTTTCCTGAGTGTAGTACTTCATCTCAGCCAATAGATGGCAGACTTTTCCTGAGTGTAGTACTCCTCACAGCCAACAGATGGCAGACTTTTCCTGCGTGTAGTACTTCATCTCAGCCAATAGATGGCAGACTTTTCTTGAGTGTAGTACTTCTCACAGCCAATAGATGGCAGACTTTTCCTGAGTGTAGTACTCCTCACAGCCACTAGATGTCACACTTTTTCTGAGTGTAGTACTCCTCACAGTCACTAGATGTCACACTTTTTCTGAGTGTAGTACTTCATCTCAGCCAAGAGATGGCAGACTTTTCCTGAGTGTAGTACTTCTCACAGCCAACAGATGGCAGACTTTTCCTGAGTGTTGTACTACATCTCAGACAACAGATGGCAGACTTTTCCTGCGTGTAGTACTTCATCTCAGCCAATAGATGGCAGACTTATCCTGAGTGTAGTACTCTTTACAGCCACTAGATGTCACACTTTTTCTGAGTGTAGTACCACATCTCAGCCAACAGATGGCAGACTTTTCTTAAGTGTAGTACTCCTCACAGCCACTAGATGTCACTTTTTCTGAGTGTAGTACCACATCTCAGCCAACAGATGGCAGACTTTTCCTGAGTGTAGTACTCCTCATAACCACTTTTCCCGATTGCAAATTTGCATACATTTGAGTAATTCCACACTGTTTGAGGGCTGAGCCAAACGGAAAAGTTTTAAAATTAGTTTAACCATGGTCCTTTGCGATATTGTGCAACAAAAAAAGGAAAGGGGAGAGAGGGAGTGACCAAATATGCTAATTCGATACATTGCTCTCCCTAAGTTGACACAGTGTGGTCATAAAGTATCCTAGGAGGGAGAGAGATAGTCAAGAAGTATCCTAATTGGTAGTAGCTAAAAATAAAAGACATGCAAATTGGTGTGACCATGGTCCTTTGCAATTGGATCAGAACACTCTCCCTGATGTGCTGGATGTGAGAATTTTCCTGAATGCAGTACTCCTCACAGCCACTAGATGTCACACTTTCCTCAGTGTAGCGATTTGGGATTTAGGGACTATGGTGAGTGGACTAGGCACTATGGATATGGGACTGTGACATTGGAACTATGGACGAGGCACTATGGATTTGGGACTAGGGCATCGGGATTATGATCTATTGACTAGGCACTATGGATTTGGGATTTAGGGACTATGGTCTATGAACTTTGGAACTAGGGACTATGATATTGGGACTATGGTTTATGCACTAGGCAGTATGAATTGGGATTTAGGGACTATGACATTGGGACTATAGTCTATAGACTTGGCCCTATGAATTCTGGATTAGAGACTAGGCACTATGACATTGGGACTATGATCTATGGACTCAGCCCTGTGAACTATGGATTTGGGATTAAGGACTATGACATTGGGACTATGATCTATGGACTCAGCCCTGTGAACTATGGATTTGGGACTATAGTCTGTGGACTAGGCGCTATGGATTTGGGACTATAGAATTTGCAGTGTGCACTGAGCAGTCCACATCTGGAACCAAGGTGCACTGCTCATTCCAAAGGGAAGTGAAGGGGGGAGGAGAGGTCCCGGAGCTCACAGAGAATGTTACAAAGAGGCAAAAACAACAGAAAAAAACACTCTTTAATGGAAAATAACAAATAAAGCCATGAAGTAGTGTGTGTGGATGATGTTTGGAGAATATCACTTGGTGTCACTGTGACGGACATGATGTTGCCTAAACTATTATATCCTAGATATGACTTAATTGTATATTTGGGCCTCATTATCTGATGGTGAACTGTTCATGAATGGAGGGAGGATTTTGTGAATGAAAAGATCCGAATACTTTGCCCCCCCCCCCTGGTGTGCAGTCATGTGGGAACACAATACAATGGACATAGTCCTCCACTCTGAGGAACACACTTTAGACTTGATTCGCCCATCTTTGCACTCCCTCCAAACTCACAAACACCCCCTTTCCGCTCTCTGATCACAACCTCATCACCTTCACAGTCTCATCTTCAAACACACCTATCCCTCCACGCACCAATTACCCGCAGAAACCTTCACAACTTAAACCCTTCTTTTATCTGCTCTGCAACTAACGGCCTCGATGACAGAATCTCTTCCCGGTCCTGGCCACTGCTGTCTGCAACAGTTCAGTTTCATCCACATTAGACTCCCTTGCTCCTCTAACCACAACCAACTGAACAACTTAAGACCCATCTCCCATTCACCTCTAAACTCCTAGAACACTTAGTCTACAATCGCCTAAGCTCCTCCCTCAGACAACCTTCTTGACCCTTTACAGTCTGGCTTTCGCTCACTACACTCCACTGAAACTGCTCTACTAAAACTCACCAATGATCTAACTGCTAAAACCAATGGCCACTACGCCGTACTCATCCCGACCAATGGCCACTACTCCGTACTCATCCCGACCAATGGCCACTACTCCGTACTCATCCCGACCAATGGCCACTACTCCGTACTCATCCCCACCAATGGCCACTACTCCGTACTCATCCCGACCAATGGCCACTACGCCGTACTCATCCCGACAAAATGGCCACTACGCCGTCCTCATCCCGACCAATGGCCACTACTCCGTACTCATCCCGACCAATGGCCACTACTCCGTACTCATCCCGACAAATGGCCACTACGCCGTCCTCATCCCGACCAATGGCCACTACTCCGTACTCATCCCGACCAATGGCCACTACGTTCTCTTGCTACTTGACCTCTCTGCGGCTTTTGATACTGTTGTTGACCATCCCCTCCTCAAAAAACTCCACTCTTGGCCTCAGATACTCTGCTCTCTCCTGGTTCTCCTATCACAGCACTACCTGTAACTCTGGCTCCTCCTCTCCCTCTTTCTGTAGGGGTCTTTCTAGGTTCTGTCCTTGGACCCCTTCTCTTCTCCATCTACACCTCCTCCCTTGGTCACTTGATAAACTCCCATGACTTTAAGTACCATCTCTATGCTGATGACACACAAATTATCTTTCTACCCCTCACCCCTTCAGTCTCCTCCTCACTCCACCCCTTCAGTCTCCTCCTCACTCCACCCCTTCAGTCTCCTCTCGCATTACTAACCTACCAAGTGACATATCAGCATGGATGTCACTCCACTTCCTCAATCTTTCCAAAACTGAGCTTAGTATTCCCCTCAGCCCGTGCCCCCTCCCCCAACTTCTCCATCAAGATCAATAACACAACCATCAGTCCTCCCCTCATGCCAGGGTACGAGGTGTAATCCTAGACTCCCATCTGTCCTTTCACCTCCAAATCTAATCGCTGACCAAATCTTGTAAACTTCACCTCCACAACATCTCCAAGATACGCCCGTTCCTAACCACGGAAACTACTAAGCAACTCGTTCACTCCCTTATTATATCTCACCTTAACTATTGTAACTCCCTCCTCACTGGCCTACTGAATCGCAGGCTATCCCCTCTTCAGTCTATCATGAATGCTGCTGCCAGACTCATCCACCTTACTATCTGCCAATCCCTCCACTGGCCTCCACTCAGTGTCCTCCATCCCTCTCTGCCAATCCATCCACTGACCTCCACTCAGTGTCCTCCACCCTCTCTGCCAATCCCTCCACTGGCTTCCCACTGCCCTGCCCAACTGATAAAATTCAAAATAACCTATAAAGCCATTTATAACTCCACCCCCAATTACCGTATTTGCCGGCGTATAAGACAACCCCCTACTTTTTCCTGTTAAAAATATAGGGTTTGGGCTATACTCGCCGTATAAGACTACCCCTCTTCCAACGCACATCAAAAACTAAAAAACATCAGATTTGATTTCAATATGGTATTCCAATGATGGAGCACTATTCCTCACTCTGACACCAATGATGGGGCACTATTCCTCCCACTGACACCAATGATGGGGCACTATTCCTCCCACTGACACCAATGATGGGACACTATTCCTCACTCTGACACCATTGATGGGGCACTATTCCTCCCACTGACACCAATGATGGGGCACTATTCCTCCCACTGACACCAATGATGGTGCCCCAACATTAGTGTCAGTGTGTGAGGAATAGCGCCCCATCATTGGTGTCAGTGGGAGGAATAGTGCCCCATCATTGTAAGAATGTGACACCAATGATGGAGGCAATAGCCCCCATCATTGGTACACCAAGTGGGAGGCAATATGCCCATCCCCCCACTGACACCAATGATGGGGCACTATTCCTCCCCCCACTGACACCAATGAGGGGGCACTATTCCTCCCCCACTGACACCAATGAGGGGGCACTATTCCTCCCCCCACTGACACCAATGAGGGGGGCACGATTCCTCGCTCTGACACCAATGATGGGGCACGATTCCTCGCTCTGACACCAATGATGGGGCACTATTCCTCCCACTGACACCAATGATGGGGCACTATTCCTCCCACTGACACTTGCTGACTCCTGTTCTAGTATGGTACTGCTGCAGCCAGCATATGTGGTTGCAGCAGCACCTCTGCCCTGCACACTTACCCTCACTCGATTTTCGCGGGTCCGCTCGGCTCCGCCTCCTCGCCCGTGATTGCCCACCTGTGTGCCTTTCCTAAGCTACAGTTCTGGCAGCCAATCACCGGTGAGGAGGCGGAGCCGAGCAGCAGGAGTGACCGGAGTGACTGAAGGAGCAGCGTTTCCTGAATGGAGCGTTGTGGGAGCCAGGTAAGAGACTGCAGCCCTCTGCCCACCCCTGTACTTGGTGTCCCTTCCGTCGGAAGAGGGGGGGGGGCAGCAGCACCGCGCAGCCCCCCTAAAAAGTGCCCCCTGACGTGTACTGGCATATAAGACAACCCCCGACTTTTGAGAAGATTTTCAAGGGTCAAAAAGTCGTCTTATACACCAGAAAATACGGTACATCACCAATCTTCTCTCCAAATATCACCCAAACCGTCCTCTCCGCTTCTCGCACGACCTCCTGCTCTATAGCTCCCTTGTCTCCTCCTCCCATGCTTGTCCCCAGAGCTTCACCCATCTTCTGGAACTCTCTACCCCAATCTATCAGACTATCGCCTACTCTGCTCACTTTTTAGGCGATCTCTGAAAACCGATCTCTTCAGGGAAGCCTATCCTGCCCTCAGCTAATAATGGAATCTTCTACGCCTCCTACCAGTCCATCCCCCACAGTTACTACCTTTTGTACCACCAGCCCCTCCCCCTTAGATTGTAAGCTCCCAGGATCAGGACCCTCCTAACCCTCTTGTATTGATGCTGTATTGTCTTGTTATATCGTTAAGTGATGAGCAAACTTGGCGCTATATAAATCCAGAATATATATATATATAAAGTTATAACCCTCCCTTGCTCAAGACGAAATGAGAAGTTTTGCCTATAGTTGTACCTTAACATCCAGTAGTGCAGCAGCCAGGTAATTGGCATTTCAGAAAATGACATCAACTGGAGTCTCCATTTCAATTAAAGTAGAAAACTCCGGGGTAATGCTAGTCAAGCGTAAAAAACTGTTCCCCTCCCCCTTCCAACCCAACACGCCTTTAGCAGGAAGATGCAGATACTTGCCTCTTCTCAGGCTGCCCTGGGCACATGATCAGCTCTCAGCTCCAGGGGAGAGGAGCGAGGCAACAGACAGCCCATAGTAAGCTGGGGGTCATCCGAAATTCCAGCCATTGTTGGAACGCTCTCTCTGCCATGCAGCCAGTGCTGGGAGGGTTTGAATCATGTGACCACAGCAGCCCAATAGTACGAGCATCTTATTTCTAAAGGGTAGTCAGGTGTAAGCTCGGTATCCCAGAATTCTGCTTTAGGTGTTCCAGTAATTCCATTATGGGTGCTCCAGCCATGCAGAATCTGCAGCATTACATGCTCTTCAAGGGTCGCCCCCTCCCCCACTGCTAGGAAGGGGTTAAGGGGCAGAACTGGGAAACGCTGCACCGGGGTGTAGACAAGAGAAGTTGAGGCAGAGACAACCATTTGTAGGTGTCCCCAACTATCGGAAGGGTCGGCCCACAGCAGAGTCCGGCCTTTCTGCAAGAAGGGGATTATTCTGGCACCGGAATGAGACCCCAGAGTCACAAGAAGACTAAGGGGACACTTGACAGTGCGGACAGCAAATACTAAAGCCCCTCCCAGGTGCAGCCATCACCCCAAATCACACACAGAGCTCACCCCCCCCCCCCCCCCCCCCCCCCCCCCATAGTCACCTCAAAAAGAAGAGTACACAGACGACGTGTTTAATAAAGTTCTGTTTATTAGATGCCGGGTGGGTGGGGGGGGGTGTTTATTTGCCCTTCTTGGCTTTGATTTTCCTCAGGTAGAACTCCAACTCTTTGCCTTCCAGGAGATATCCGTCAGCTCGGCCACACTGACCCGGCCTAGAGGCGATGCATGCTGCAAGAAGAAGGAACAGTTAGAGACTCCGGGACTCCCATGATGGCGATATCCCAGCCGTTCCAGTCCCACCGCCTGATACAACAGCAGCCCAATGCTCTATGTATATAGATGGGGGCGGCCATATTGGTTATATACATGCTGTGCATCCTGACCAATACAGCAAAGCGACGACTTGACTGCTCCTCTCCACTGCATGTCTACCCAGCGTGCTCATATGCTGACAAATTGTGCAATTCTGTTTTATCTCAGCCGTTCAGCAAAGATGCTGATTGCAGTCGGCCGCTACACAAAGCTTCAAGAATGCAGATGAATCACCAGGAAGTCATCCGAAAGTCCCCCTCCCCCCCCATGCAAAATACGAATTGGGCCTCATGCACACAGGCATTTATGCAGCTGCTGTTTGGGCGTCAGGCGTTTTTGCCTACCACCAGGAAACTCCCCAGCAGTTTATCCGATCTGGGAGCTATGGAGGGGGAGAGTCCCCACTTGCAGAATCTGCTCTAAAAGGGGACCCCGGATGGTGACACGTCTGAGAGACACGTATATGAAATTTGAAGTATTTACCCAAGTTGCGATTGGAAGGTGTATGATCCTATCTTGGCAATTGATGACCGCTATCCAATACCACAGGATAAATCTTACATGCGTTTTTTTTGACGCACTTCTGGTGAGTGTGCAATTTTTACCTCAGATTCACTGCGTGATACACAGAATCTCATCCCACGCATCTACTAGGATCTATTGGATCCCCACGTTTGACCTTATATTGGGACTTTTCATCTCACCGCAATGTGATTTGACATTTGCACTTTATTTATATTACAATATGCTATATATGCCATTTTTACTATTATAGCGCTGCATATATATATATATATATATATATAGTATATATATATATATATATTTTTTTTTTTATTTATATTTATTTATCTATTTTTATCTATTTTTTATCAGCAGTTTTTGTCAGGGGCGATGGAAAAAAAAAAAAAAAACAAAAAAAAAAAAAAAAAAACAAAAACAAAAACAAAAGATTTTCAGCTGTAAACATTCTAATGATAAACACCGCGACCATCTAGCGTTTGGGCTTTTGTAGGAGTGGCTTCGCTAAAAGATGCAGAGGCTGAAAAACACCAACACCAGTAGTATTAGCCGAAGAATGCCGAGTTTTTTTTTTACATTTCCGAGCATTTTTGCAACACCCAGTGTGCATGAGGCTTTAAACCTCAGACATGAAAAATGAACAAAGCACATCCCTCTATAGTGTGTTCTGGTCTCAGTCCAGAGCACTGAATGTCATTTCTGTCTGCTGCCTCCTTCCTCGGCTACCAGTCACTTCTGACACCAAGAGAAATGATGACAGGGAAGGCGGCCTGAGCCTCAGCTCTGCTCCAGTATGGGGGGTTCCCTCCCCCCTCCCCTCTGAGCGTTGCAAAGTGTAATTTTAGCTCTCTGCTCCTTTTGTGAACGCTCAAGATAAGCTTTATAAATTCAGCACTTGTACCACCCGAGGCCAGTCACTTCACTGGGTATATGGAGGGTTTACATCCAGAGCACTAGGTGACTGCACACACAGGAACCAAACAGTCCTATGACCCCCCCACCCCTGTGCTATACGGGCAGCACAGGGGGCTGAATGGTTAGCACTCTCACCAGGCAGTACTCGGGTCGTTGGTGCCGTGACTGCACCTCCTGTCTGGAGTTTGCATGTTCTCCCTGTGCTGTGTGGGTTTCCTCCGGGTACTCCGGTTTCCTCCCACACTCCAAAACACATGCTGGGACGTTAACTGTTCCCTGTCTAAATTATGTATATATGAGAATGTGAGTTAGGACTGTAGATTGCACGCTCCTCGGGGGCGGGGACTGATGTGAATGTACAATATATATATGTAAAGCGCAGCGTAAATTGATGGCGCTATATAAGTAGCTGGAAAAAAAAAAAAAATAATAGGACTGCAATGTATCAGGAGGGTGACAAAACACTTTACATTCGGTGTCAGTCCCAGATCCTGCATGAATCAGAAAACACCCACAACAGCCAAGTTCCCTCCACCCAAGTACCTCCGCTGACTCTCTGTCCCATCAAACCCCTTCCCCCAGCTCAGCCACAATCATGTGGCCCCTCCCACTGCAAGCCTGATTTTATCTGGTGTGTTGACTTTGTAGAATTTGTTCTGGCAATGACCCCCGGCTCACATTGCACCGTGTGGTCTGATCAAGCAGCTGCAGAGACTCACCAAGCAGTTTGCCCTGTTGGAATTGTTCCTCCAGCAGAGGGCTGATCTTTGCCGTCTTTTTGCGATCGTCATATTTTTTCTGGGTTTTCTTCGATCTTTTCTTGTTGAGGATTTCTTCCTCTTCGGGAGTCTAGATGAGGAGGGGGGAGGGGACAACGTTAGAATACAGCACAATATTCACCGACATGGACGATCCCCGCCAATCCAAAAGTCACAAAAATAATGAAAAAGTTCCCCTTATACAACCAATACGAAGACAAAGTTCATGGAAGGCTGGAGCCGGGGTGAGGGCAGCAAGCTGGCAAAGGAAGGTCCGGGATTGGCTGCACACCGACAACCCACAATGACAACAACAATGTGGATTGTCGTTGTGCAGCCAATCCCGGATCTTCCTTCCTGCATGCATGGATCATGGGAGCACCCGATGGAGGCAGAGTGGGGGGAATGCCTGAAGGACACTTGCCTATGAGGAGCACAGCTTTACACCTGTGCCAAAAACTGAATTACTCCTGGATCCCTATCTCCACAACATGACCTGTGGAGGCGCAAGCAGCCATCTGTAGACCTCCTTCACTTCCTATTGCACCACTTCAAGACCTGGCCCTTGGGGCGCAGGGAGCAGCACACATGGTGCAAGTGTAGCAGAGAAGCCATCAGGTTGAAATCAGATACAAGGACTAGAACAGAGACACGGAGCCTAAAGAACGTCCAATAAACTGACCAGCAGACCCCCCCCCCCCCCCCCCCCAAAGAAAAAAAAAAAAATAATATATATACTCGTTTCATGTCTGTATTCATTGTCAGCGGAGCTCCACCGCCACCATCCTGTACAAATCAATCACCAAGTGATAGAAAGCCCCAGTGTGAGCCCCTCCCCCACACACACTGCACAATCCTGCGCGCGCCCCCCCCCACACACACTGCACAATCCTGCGCGCGCCCCTCCCCCACACACTGCACAATCCTGCGCGCGCCCTCCCCCCGCACAATCCTGCGCGCGCCCCTCCCCCACACACTGCACAATCCTGCGCAAGCCCCTCCCCCCACACACTGCACAATCCTGCGCGCGCCCCTCCCCCACACACTGCACAATCCTGCGCGCGCCCCTCCCCCCCCACACAATCCTGCGCGCGCCCCACCCCCCCCACACAATCCTGCGCGAGCCCCCCCCCCCACACACTGCACAATCCTGGCGAGCCCCTCCCCCACACACTGCACAATCCTGCGCGCGCCCCCCCCCCCCACACAATCCTGCGCGCGCGCCCCTCCCCCCACACAATCCTGCGCGCGCCCCTCCCCCACACACTGCACAATCCTGCGCGCGCCCCTCCCCCACACACTGCACAATCCTGGGCGAGCTCCTCCCCCACACACTGCACAATCCTGGGCGAGCTCCTCCCCCACACACTGCACAATCCTGGGCGCGCCCCTCCCCCACACACTGCACAATCCTGGGCGAGCTCCTCCCCCACACACTGCACAATCCTGGGCGAGCTCCTCCCCCACACACTGCACAATCCTGGGCGAGCTCCTCCCCCACACACTGCACAATCCTGGGCGAGCTCCTCCCCCACACACTGCACAATCCTGGGCGAGCTCCTCCCCCACACACTGTACAATCCTGGGCGAGCTCCTCCCCCACACACTGTACAATCCTGGGCGAGCTCCTCCCCCACACACTGTACAATCCTGGGCGAGCTCCTCCCCCCACACACTGTACAATCCTGGGCGAGCTCCTCCCCCACACACTGTACAATCCTGGGCGAGCTCCTCCCCCACACACTGTACAATCCTGGGCGAGCTCCTCCCCCACACACTGTACAATCCTGGGCGAGCTCCTCCCCACACACTGTACAATCCTGGGCGAGCTCCTCCCCCACACCCAATCCTGGGCGAGCTCCTCCCCCATACACTGTACAATCCTGGGCGAGCTCCTCCCCCACACACTGTACAATCCTGGGCGAGCTTCCCCCATACACTGTACAATCCTGGGCGAGCTCCTCCCCCATACACTGTACAATCCTGGGCGAGCTCCTCCCCCCATACACTGTACAATCCTGGGCGAGCTCCTCCCCCCATACACTGTACAATCCTGGGGGCACGAGCTCCTCCCCCATACACCGTACAATCCTGGGCGAGCTCCCCCCCATACACCGTACAATCCTGGGTGAGCCCCTCCCATATACACTGTACAATCCGGTGAGCCCCTCCCCCATACACTGTACAATCCTGGGTGAGCTCCTCCCCCATACACTGCACAATCCTGGGTGAGCTCCTCCCCCATACACTGCACAATCCTGGGTGAGCTCCTCCCCCATACACTGCACAATCCTGGGTGAGCTCCTCCCCCATACACTGCACAATCCTGGGTGAGCTCCTCCCCCATACACTGCACAATCCTGGGTGAGCTCCTCCCAATAGACAACAATGGACAGCTCACTCCATTACCCAAGAACAGTTTATAACCGGGGTCCAATCGCTGGATGAGATTCCTCTCCATATAGGATATGTCTGAGACCAATCCAACCAGGTCAGCCAGATAGAAGGAATATCCAATAGAATGCGGCTCTTCCAGCCACATCTTCTAGAATTTTCCACCACATAAATACACAGACACAGCCAGGGACTATGAGAGGATGTCATTCAGGATCCGAGAACCCAACAAACTTCTCACAGAAGCATCAGACGCATCTTCATATCACATTTCATACTTTAGAAATCGATTTTTCATCTCATATCTACCAGCTGCAGCCAGCAGGAGGGAGCTCCAGACAAGATCAGAAGATGTATTCTACGCCTGCCGGAAGAGCAGGGAGATCAGATTATACAGCAAGTCACAGGACACGCCTCCTAGAGGGAGGTACCAGCCGTCCCCCGCCCAGAGGCAATCCTGCGGTCGGAAGGCCACCAAGCTCACGGCAGAACTGACACCGAACACTCACCTAATTCTACTCAATGGTTATAAAATGACACTGAACAGAAAAAGATGACCCTATAAATGCATTCTATCAGATTCCCGCCATTGGTCCAGGCTACGGTTCCAACCAATCAGTAAGTGAACCTGGACCGGAGCCCGCTAAACCTGGAGCACTCAGGAATCCAATCATAGCGGCCTTTAACCATGTGATCAGCCATGTCCAATGACACGCTGATCGCTGGGAAATGCAATCGCCGGTTCTCGGCTGCACTGTCAGAGCGCGAGGAAAGAACTGCCGAGAATTGGCAATTGTCAGAGGGGGAATCGGCAACCGATCAGGGCACTGATGATCCGTGCCCGGCGGTGACGCCCATCCGTGCCCGGCAGTGACGCCCATCCGGCCCGGCAGTGACGCCCATCCGTGCCCGGCAGTGACGCCCATCCGTGCCCGGCAGTGACGCCCATACCCGTGCCCGGCAGTGACGCCCATCCGTGCCCGGCAGTGACGCCCATCCGTGCCCGGCAGTGACGCCCATCCGGGCCCGGCAGTGACGCCCATCCGTGCAGCCTCATCAACGCACATCAGTGAAGGAGAAAAATGACCTGTTTGCAAAATTTTATAATAGAAACAAAAACTATTTTCCACATTTTTGCTTTTTTTGTTTATAGAGCAAAAAATAAAACCCCCAGCGGTGAATAAATACCACCATTAGAAAGCTGAGACAAATTATAAAAATGTCATATGGGTACAGTGTTGCATGACTGCGCAATTGTCATTCAAAGTGTGACAGCACTGAAAGCTAAAAATTGGCCTGGTAAGGAAGGGGGTAGAAGCGGCCTGCGGGAAGGAAGGGGGTAGAAGCGGCCTGCGGGAAGGAGGGGGTAGAAGCGGCCCGGCGGGCAGGAAGGGGGTAGAAGCGCCCGGCGGGCAGGAAGGGGGTAGAAGCGCCCGGCGGGCAGGAAGGGGGTAGAAGCGCCCGGCGGGCAGGAAGGGGGTAGAAGCGCCCGGCGGGCAGGAAGGGGGTAGAAGCGCCCGGCGGGCAGGAAGGGGGTAGAAGCGCCCGGCGGGCAGGAAGGGGGTAGAAGCGCCCGGCGGGCAGGAAGGGGTAGAAGCGCCCGGTAGGCAGGAAGGGGGTAGAAGCGCCCGGTAGGCAGGAAGGGGGTAGAAGCGCCCGGTAGGCGAGGGGTTAAATTTTCAAAATGAGACTAGTGTAAAAAAAAAAAAAAAAAGCGATCATTTGTCTGATATTTTGATCGTCTCCCAGGCTTAACAGTCATCATTAGTATTGTTTAACCGACTCCCAAAATTTTATAACAGAAACAAAAAGTTTTTTATATTTTTTTAATACTAAAGGAAACTGTCTTAGATAAAAAAAAAAAAATGTAAAAAAAAAATGTCATATGGGGGGGTGGAAGGGGGTGCCACAGCCCAAGTCCAGTCACCAGAAGCAGCCTCGTTCTGTTGTGCACACCCTGTTCTCAGACGGTTAGACTCCGGCACACACACAGATCTTCCTCAGATATGACGGTTTCACCACTTGCACTCAGTAGCAGAACTGGACATAAGGTATCATCACTGGAAGATCGGAACATGAAGTCGCCCCCCCCCCACCCCCGACCAGCACACACTCACCAGTTTGGCTCCCTTCTTGCGCCCGAGCGGTGTGGCGTAGTGCGCCTCGTACCACTGTCTGTAGGGGGTGCTGTCGATCAGGACGATGCAGTTCTTCACCAGAGTCTTGGTTCTGACCAGCTCGTTGTTCGATGCGTTGTACACCACGTCAATGATTCTGGTCTTCCGGGTGCAGCCTGTGCGGGGGAGGGGAGTATAGGTGTCAGAATCGCCCAAAAATAAAGCCAACCACGCCCGTCTATTGGAGGAGGACACAGGACTCCGCCCCCACACTGCCAGATTAAAAGGGGACCTCTGCCGAGAGAAGCCTTCACACTGCCGCCAACCTTCTGAACACAACTGGCTGCCCAAGGCTCAAAACTGACCCAGAATAAGCATGCGGCAAGTGAACACCAGATATGTACACTTATTCCAGGTCAGGGACTGACGGCCGGGACAGCCAGGCCATCGGCATTTCCAGAGGGGACAGCCAGGCCATCGGCATTTCCAGAGGGGACAGCCAGGCCACCGGCATTTCCAGAGGGGACAGCCAGGCCACCGGCATTTCCAGAGGGGACAGCCAGGCCATCGGCATTTCCAGAGGGGACAGCCAGGCCATCGGCATTTCCAGAGGGGACAGCCAGGCCATCGGCATTTCCAGAGGGGACAGCCAGGCCATCGGCATTTCCAGAGGGGACGGCCAGGCCAGCCAGGCCATTTCCAGAGAGGGGCTGGCAATGGCAGCCCATGTAGCTCTCGGTAAAGGATTTCCTTATACCTTCGATGTACAGCGAAACAACTTTATGTTTTAGTTTTGGATGGAGGGATTAGGACCCCTGTCCAGCTTTTACTGCTGCCTGTCCCTATTGGGGGGGCACTGAGTGACACTTCCGAGGGGGTGAGGAAGGGGTTGGATGCTTCATTAAGGGGGGGGAAAACACTTCAATGGGCTGGAGCAATGCTTTCATAGCATATGGGGGCTCATGCTTCCCAGGGGTGGGGGACTAAGGAACACTTCAATGGGCTGGGGGTGGAGCAATGCCTCACGGGGGGGGGGGGGGGGGGGGGCTGAGCAATGGGGGGGTCACCGGGGGGGGGGGGCTGAGCAACGCTTCCCAGAGGGTGGGGAAGGGGATGGGTAATGCTTCATGGGGGGGGAAATTAAGCGGAACGCTTCCCATGGGCTGGGGGTGGAGCGGAACGCTTCCATGGGCTGGGGGTGGAGCGGAACGCTTCCATGGGCTGGGGGTGGAGCGGAACGCTTCCATGGGCTGGGGGGTGGAGCGGAACGCTTCCATGGGCTGGGGTGGAGCAATGCCTCACTGGGGGGGGGGGGGGGGGGGGGGGCTGAGCAACGCTTCCCAGGGGGTGGGGAAAGAGATGGGTAATGCTTCATTGGGGGGGGGGGAATTAAGGGACACTTCCATGGGCTGGGGTGGAGCGGAACGCTTCCATGAGCTGGAGGTGGAGGGGGTTGGTTGGGGGCTGACTAACACTTCCCAGGGGTGAAGGGTTTAGGTAATGCTTCACTGGAGAGACTAAGGGACACTTCAATGGGCTGGGGGTGGAGCAATGCTTCCATGGCATGAAGGTGGGGGGGGGGGGGGGGGGGTTGGTCAAGTAACGCTTCCCCCCAATGGACACCTAACAGGGAGTATAACCCGACCTTACTCCATCCAAAAAGAAAAAAAAAAAGTTTTGTTTTTTTTAGTTGAACTTTAATGCTTTCCCAGATCAGAGATCCCACGGCTGCAGAGCACCAAACCCTCATCAAGGTAAAGCATGGAGTGGGCGGAGCCCCGAGAGTCGCATGGAGTGGGCGGAGCCCCTAGAGTCGCATGAAGAAGCAAGGCGCAATCAGTGTAACTATGACGAATCCCGGCACGGTGAGGGGCCACAGGTCAGAATGACCGAAATCTCCTCACATAGGGGACACAGTTATCATCACATGCGCTGCACTGTTCATGCATTTGTAATTCGAGGGGGGGGGGGGGGGGGGGTTTTCTAAAATTAGTGCAGCGCTGAATAGAAACCAATCAGCTTCCAGGTTTATTGCTTCATTGAACAAACTGAAGTCAGAGCTGATTGGCTGATGATTCTGAGCGCCCCCGTTTCAGTAAATCTCCCCCATTGAGAGCCTCAGACTGCCCCATTCCCAACCCCTCCCAGACCCGCCAGCAAGAGAGGAATAGGCGTGCGCCATCATTGCCTCCATGCCGGGCCGCGGACGCTTCACTTACACTCGGATCCCCAGGAGAAGTTTCCGGCGTCCAACCTCAGAGCGCGGTACTTCTTATTTCCTCCCCGGACTCTCACGGTGTGGATACGGCGCGGGCCGATCTGTAAGGGAACAAAAAATCATATGAAACAAAAGTTCCCCGGAATGTTGAGGCGGAGTCAGAGGCGGAGCCTGCAGCACATCAGTGTAACTATGACAAGCCTATCACTGGCCGGCAGATGTCACAGGACCAAGACGGTCCGGTCTGCCAGCCTAAGGTCCGTACTTCATCATGTGTGCTGCCAGGGACACGGCGCCACTCAGCTGCATTACCACCTATGGAAGGTCCCGGCACAGCGGAGGCACCGAGACCGGAGCTGTACCCGGGAGATGGAGCCTCGGCTGAGCCAGGACAGACAGGTTCTCTCTGATATAAAGTATTGATGGCCTGTTACCGCCCCCCCTCCGATCATTCTACACAGCTCCGTACCTTGGTGTTGGCGGCGGGGCGGCCCAGCTCATACTTCCTCTTCTTGTGGTACGGCTTCCTTTTGCCTCCGGTCTTGCGGCGCTTGTGCCAGTTATCCCTTGAGATACCTGTGAGGGGGGCAGACAGATGGGGGTGAGGGGACAGATAATTGGGGAACCCTTCTTGGGGGGGGGGGGTGGGATGGAGGGGAGCGCTCAGTTCTCCAAGGAGATTCTCCACACCGCAGCTTCAGGAAAAGCAGCATGTAGTCTCATCATGGCACTCCCCCCTCCACCTATACCCAAGGGTCCAACCGCGCCCCCCCTCCCAATACCCAAGGGTCCAACCGCGCCCCCCCTCCCAATACCCAAGGGTCCAACCGCGCCCCCCCTCCCAATACCCAAGGGTCCAACCACCCTACCCCCTTATACCCAAGGTCAGTCCCCCCACCTATACCCGAGGGTCAAATCCTCCCCCCCTCCACCTATACCCGAGGGTCAACCCCTACTCCCCCCCCTCCACCTATACCCGAGGGTCAACCCCTAATACCCGAGGGTCCCCCCCCCCCCCCCAAGCCCCACCACCTATACCCGAGGGTCAAACCCCCCTTAGCTATACCCAAGGGTCAAACCCCCCCCCCCCTCCGCCTATACCCGAGGGTCAAAACCCCCCCTCTATACCTGAAAGTCAACCCCTCCCCCAACCAATCCATACACGGGTTGACAACATACACGGTACAAATTGTTCCAGTATACTCCATATACCTTCATATAATAAAATACTCCCAACATCCACATAGAAAACATCTCCATCCGCACTATAGAGAGGACCCCCCCATACAGAATCTCTCTACCTACCCATCCCCCTATACAGGGATCCACAATATATAAAATATATACATACACACATACATACATACATACACATATATATATAGATCTCCATGTACTCCTGTGTATTGTACCGCCATACATTCATATATCATACTACAGTTATATATAGAAGATCCCTCTGTATGGGAGATATACACATCACCAGGTATACAGACTGTATGGAGGGATTGCCATCTATAGTGCAGATGGAGAGATATATATATAATCCTGCTATATACATTACATACACTGTATTACCCCCTCCATATCATGTGATTCAGGTGTTCCAATCCCCTCCATATCATGTGATTCAGGTGTTCCAATCCCCCCCCCAGTCATGTGATTCAGGTGTTCCAATCCCCTCCATGGACACAGGTGTATACAGTCAAGCCCCTAGGCATGCAGACGGCTTCTACAAACATTGGTGAAAGAATGGGTCGCTCTCAGGAGCTCAGTGACTCCAAGCGTGGTCCCGTGATAGGTGGCCACCTGGGCAATAAGTCCATCCGTGACATTTCCTGGCTACTAAATATTCCACGCTCAACTGTTAGTGGCAATGCAAAGCGGCGGATGCTGTGGTGTAAAGCACGCCGCCACTGGACTCTAGAGCAGGGGAGACGTGTTCTCTGGAGGGACCAATCACACTTCTCTGTCTGGCAATCCAATGGACGTGTCTGGGTTTGGCGGTTGCCAGGAGAACGGTACTTGCCTCACTGCATTGTGCCAAGTGTAAAGTTTGGTGGAGGGGGGATTATGGTGTGGGGGTGTTTTTCAGGGGTTGGGCTTGGCCCCCTAGTTCCAGTGAAGGGAACTCTTAAGGTGACATTTTGGACAATTTCATGCTCCCAACTTTGTGGGAGGAGTTTGGGGAGGGCCCCTTCCTGTTCCAACATGACTGCCCACCAGTGCACAAAGCAAGGTCCATAAAGACATGGAGGAGCCAGTTTGGGGTGGAGGAACTTGACTGTCCTGCACAGAGTCCTGACCTCAACCCCATAGAACACCTTTGGGATGAATTAGAGCGGAGACTGCAAGCCAGGCCTCCTCCCCCGACATCAGTGCCTGACCTGGAAGAATGGTCCAACCCCCCCCCCCCCCCCATATATATGTTCTGTATATACAGAATATGGGGGGGGTAATTAGGGGTCTCAATGGTATGGGGGTTGCACACTATGAGGGGTTGTGATGACCATTATTGGGGTCCCATGGAGGGGGGGTTGCACACCACGGGGGGGGCCTGTGATGACCATTAGTGGGGGACCCTATGGAGGGGGAGTTGCACACTATGGGGGGCTGCAATGACAATTAATGGGGCCCCATGGAGGGGGTAAATGTGCAGCACATGGATAGGTAAGCCCCAGCAGAGTCCGGGCCTGGCGGAGAAGCGCGGCCTCCTCTCCCGTGTATAGGACGGCTCTGGCCTCCATGATGGCGGTCGGAGATCTCTCAGCCCTCCCTGACCCCCCTTTTCCCGGAGTTCCCCCCTCTTCTTGGTGCCCGGGGCCCCCACTATCACCCTCGGGGTCGGGTCCGGGCGGAGCGGCGGTTCCCGGGGGAGGATGGCGGCGGATAGCGGAGCGGACAGCAGAACGTACCCATGTCTCAGGCGCTGGCTGGAAAGAGGAAGTCGCAAAGGATCTCGGGAGAGTTTGTTCCCGGGGAAGTCACGCGAGAGGACCAACGCTTGGACGTCATTTCCCGCGACGCTGAGACGGACGGGGAAACCATGGCAACAGCGTGCGGAAGACTTTCAGGGGGCGTGTCCGCATGTGTAAGGATTGTGGGGTTCCTTGCCTGTGCTGTCCTCATCCCCGACATTCCGTCATCTCCATCCTCGTCCTCTACAGCCGGGTATCCTAACTTTCTAAGCAATGGAACAATTCATGGTCCTTCGGAAAAGAGGAGAGCGGAATGGACTATTGGGAAAAGAGAATCCCCATCAACGGTGTCACTGGGAGGAATAGGGCCCTAGGGGCCAGATAAAGCCAAGGAAAGGTCTGCAGTTTGGAGGCAACTGCTCTAGAGTCATCCTCATCCCCTCCAGACTCATCTGTTATCCTCCTAATCCCTCCTTACGATGCCTTGAAAAAGTTTTCCCGCCCCTGAAATGTCCCCCATGTTGTCACGTTACAATGTATTCCCCCCGAAATGTCCCCCATGTTGTCACGTTACAATGTATTCCCCCCGAAATGTCCCCCATGTTGTCACGTTACAATGTATCCCCCCCCCCCCCGAAATGTCCCCCCCATGTTGTCCCCCATGTTGTCACGTTACAATGTATCCCCCCCCCCCCCGAAATGTCCCCCATGTTGTCACGTTACAATGTATTCCCCCCCCCCGAAATGTCCCCCATGTTGTCATGCTACAATGTATACCCCCCCCCCCCCCCCCCCCCGAAATGTCCATGTTATCACGTTTACACCGTATCCCCCCCCAAAATGTCCCCCATGTTGTCACGTTACAATGTATCCCCCCCCCCTGAAATGTCCCCCATGTTGTCACGTTACAATGTATTCCCCCCCCCCAGAAATGTCCCCATATTGTCACGTTACAATGTATTCCCCCCCCCCCACAAATGTCCTCATGTTGTCACGTTACAATGTATCCCCCCCCCCCCCCCCCGAAATGTCCCCATGTTGTCACGTTACAATGTATTCCCCCCCCCCCCCCCGAAATGTCCCCCATGTTGTCACGTTACAATGTATTCCCCCCCCCTGAAATGTCCCCATGTTACAATGTATTCCCCCCCGAAATGTCCCCCATGTTGTCATGTTACAATGTATTCCCCCCCCCCCTTGAAATGTCCCCCATGTTATCATGTTACAATGTATTCCCCCCCTGAAATGTCCCCCATGTTGTCATGTTACAATGTATTCCCCTCCCCCCCCCCCCCCCGAAATGTCCCCCATGTTGTCATGTTACAATGTATTCCCCCCCCTGAAATGTCCCCCATGTTGTCATGTTACAATGTATTCCCCCCCGAAATGTCCCCCATGTTGTCATGTTACAATATATTCCCCCTCCCCCCCCTGAAATGTCCCCCATGTTGTACGTTACAATGTATTCCCCCCCCCCCCCCCTGAAATGTCCCCCATGTTGTACGTTACAATGTATTATTATTACCCCCCTCCCCCCCCCCCGAAATGTCCCCCATGTTGTACGTTACAATGTATTCCCCCTCCCCCCCCCCCTGAAATGTCCCCCATGTTGTACGTTACAATGTATTCCCCCTCCCCCCCCTGAAATGTCCCCCATGTTGTACGTTACAATGTATTCCCCCCCCTCCCCCCCCCCCCTGAAATGTCCCCCATGTTGTCATGTTACAATGTATTCCCCCCCCCCCCCAAAATGTCCCCCATGTTGTCATGTTACAATATATTTCCCCCTGAAATGTCCCCCATGTTGTCACGTTACAATGTATTCCCCCCTCCCCCCCCTGAAATGTCCCCCATGTAGTCATGTCACATTGTGTTTATCGGGATTGGATGTGATGGACAACACAAAGTGGCACATAAAATTGTGAAGTGGAAGGATAATGAGAAATGGTTTCCAACATTTGTGACCAATAAATCTGTGATCAGTGTGGAGACATTTGTATTCAGCCCCCTTTACTCTGATACCCCTAACTAAAATCTATTGGAACCAATTGCCTTCAGAAGTCACCTAATTAGTACATAGAGCCCCCCTGTGTGTCATGTGATCTCAGTATAAATCCAGCTGTTCTGTGAAGCCCTCAGAGGTTTGTTAGGGAACATTAGTGAACAAACAGCATGATGAAGGCCAAGGAACACACCAGACAGGTCAGGGATAAAATTGTGGAGAAGTGTAAAGCAGGGTTAGGTCACAAAAGAATCTCCCAAGCTTTGACCATCTCACGGAGCACCGTGTTTAATCCATCACCCGGAAATGGGAGGAGTACGGCACAACTGCCAACCTACCAAGACATGGCCGTCCACCTAAACTGACCGGCCGGGGAAGGAGAACATTCATCAGAGAAGCAGCCAAGAGGCTCATGGGAACTCTGGAGGAGTAGCACAGCTCAGGGGGGAGAATCTGTCCACAGGACAACTATTAGTCGTCACTCCACAAATCTGGCCTTTATGGAAGAGTGACAAGAAGAAGCCATTGTTGGAGGAAAGCCATAAGAAGTCCCGTTTGCAGTTTGTGAGAAGCCATGTGGGGGACACAGCAAACATGTGGAAGAAGGGGCTCTGGTCAGAGGGGGGCAAAATGGGACTTTATGGCCTAAAAGCAAAACACTGTGTGTGGGGGAAAACTAACACGGCACATCACCCTGAACACACCATCCCCACTGTGAAACATGGTGGTGGCAGCATCATGTGGGGATGCTTTTCTTCAGCAGGGACAGGGAAGCTGCTCAGAGTTGATGGGAAGATGGATGGAGCCAAATACAGAGCAATCTTAGAAGACAACCTGTTAGCGTCTGCAGAAGACGAGACCGGGGCGGAGGTTCCCCTTCCAGTAGGACAACGACCCGAAACATCCAGCCAGAGCTACAATGGAATGGTTCCAATCAAAGCATCTTCATGGGTTAGAATGGCCCAGTCACAGTCCAGACCCAAATCCAATGGAGAATCTGTGGCCAGACCTGAAATTGCTGTTCCCAGACGCTCTCCATCCAATCTGACAGCTTGAGGGATCCTGCAAAGAAGAACGGGCAGAAATGTCCCTCTCTAGATGTGCAAAGAGACATCCCCAAAAACTTGCAGCTGGAATTGCAGCCAAAAGGGGGTCCTACAAAGTATTGACTCCGGGGGCTGAATACAAATGCCACCACACTTTTCATGGATTTATTGGTCACAAATGTTGGAAACCCATTTCTCAATTTTCCTTCCACTTCACAATTATGTGCCACTTTGTGTCGGTCCATCATATCCAATCCCAATAGATACATTGTAACATGACAACATGGGGGGGATACATCGTAACATGACAATATGGGGGACATTTCTGGGGGGGTGCTCCCCCCTACCCCAGCAAACCACTTGCTGCCTGCATCCATAGATAGAGAGTGGGGCTTTGCCCCGCCCACCCATCCCTGCACTATGATTGACAGCAGAGGGAGCCAGTCACAAGGTTCTTTACCAGAGAAAAATAATTTATTGGATCCCAGAACCGACGACAGAGTCCACCAGGAACCTGCAAATAATTCAACAGCAGCCTTCAGGGACCCATTCACAATACTCAGTCTATATCTGTGATAGCAAGCATAGCGATCTCCCCCCCTTCCAGCACATATGTCCAATCCAGAAGATGCACTGAGGTGGCTTCCATGCATGCATACAACATTCCAGACATTCCGCAACAATTCCCGCATCCGGAATCTGCTCCTGACACCTAAAACTTCCCGTCATATACAGATCACTACCTGGCAGTACAGCTGGAGCGGTTTCTGATTGGCTGACCAAACACAGTTGATCAACAAGACCCAACTTGTAATAACGAAGTAAGAAGGTTACTATAGTGTGTTTAACAGGCAAACATGGCGCCCTGCCAATACCATTCCCCAGGAAGACCCATCAAGCCCAATTACCATCATGAGATACTTGAGGGAAGGTATTCAATGGCACCAAATTCTATTTTTTCTTACAAAGATAGTAACAGAGGGACATACAATTGCATAGTTAGTCTGGCTGGAAAAAAAAAAAAAAAAAAGTTATAATCCGACACCCACAGTTGATCCAGAGGAAGGCAAAAAAACCCAGCAAAGCACGATCCAATTTTCTCCTGCAGGGAAAAAAAAAAAAAATTCCTCCCTGATCCCCCGAGAGGCAATCGGATATTCCCTGGATCACCTTTCCCTATAAATGTTATATCCAGTTATATTCTGTGTATCCAAGAAAGAATCCAGGACTTTCCTACAGCAATCCACTGAGCTGGCCACAACCAACTCTGGAGGGAGTCTATTCCACATTCTCACAGCTCTTACTGTGGAGAAACCTTTCTGTGTTTGGAGATGACATTTCTTTTCTTCCAGATGTAAAGAGTGCCCCCTTGTCCAACCTCCGAAGCTAGGCCATCCACTTGGTCACTGAGCAGCTTATGCCCGCCCTGGGCATTCTACTACCTCCACCTACCTTGTCATTAGTGTGCCCAACTTTTATTTCTCTTTACTTTACACTTTTGTCATTGGCTACGGTGTCACAAATACAGCCTTCCAGCCAACTGCTGAGGGAACCAAATTTGTGGGATTACAGAAAAGGCCTTACCAGCCTCAGATCGTCACCATCTTGTGCATAGGATTTGTGTGTATGTATTCCCATGGACTGAAATTGTGCTTTTGCTGTTCTGTGAGCCAAGAAATCCTTCATTAACAATGTTATTGGAACAGAAAAAATTAAAAAGATGTAAATATACACATTGTTCAGATTACAGGACTGGCTGACCTTTCCAGAGCCCCCCCCAACCCCTACAGCTCCCAGAGCCCCCAACCCCTACAGCTCCCAGAGCCCCCACCAACTCCCACAGCTCCCAGTGCCCACCAGCCCCTACAGAGCTCCCACCAGCCCCTACAGAGCTCCCACCAGCCCCTACAGAGCTCCCAGAGCCCCCACCAGCCCCTACAGAGCTCCCACCAGCCCCTACAGCTCCCAGTGCCCCCACCAGCCCCTACAGATCCCAGAGCCCCCACAGCTCCCAGAGCCCCCACCAACCCCTACAGCTCCCAGAGCCCCCACCAACCCCTACAGCTCCCAGAGCCCCCACCAACCCCTACAGCTCCCAGAGCCCCCACCAACCCCTACAGCTCCCAGAGCCCCCACCAACCCCTACAGCTCCCAGAGCCCCCACCAACCCCTACAGCTCCCAGATACATCCAAATATATATGTGGAAAGTGAAAAATTGTAATAAACCCACACTGTAAAGAAGCAGCAGACAAAGTCGGGAGGACACGGCTTGTAATAATCAAGGCAGTTTATTGCTTAATATTAATAAAACAGGACTGGCTTCAGTCAATATTCGTCCTTAATAGAAACATATTACACAGGAATTTTAAAACTGTACAATAAGCGGCTCCAGAATGGCAGCACCAAGTATGGCGCCTCTTTGGGGGGGGGGGGGGGGGGGGGGGGGGTTGGGGCAGATACTGAGGGCCGAGCTGGCATCACCCAACCAGAAGCTTCATTGATTTGCTATTGTTGGCCTGAAATACGAAAAAAGGTGACCGACTGGCGATTTCAAATGGGAAAGACCAGCATTCGTTTCTCCATTTTGAGGCTTTTTATAAAAAAAAAAAAAAATAAGAAAAAAAAAGGTTACAGTGACAAGCGTACATATTTACCCCAGCAGTACATGACAGCCCATTTAAAAAGGCCAACTCCACCCAATCCAAAGGCCAAGGTCACCCAAAAAAAAGGCCAACTCCACCCAATCCAAAGGCCAAGGTCACCCAAAATTAAACTGCTGGCAAGTTAGGCCAAATGCTGGCGTTTCATCGTCTCCGACTCCAACTGAAAGATATATTAACCGGAATACATCAAACGGCCTACATGGGCCACTTTGAACCCAAAGGGTGGTTGGCGACAGCTCCCCCTGATGGACTCCCCACAGACCTTAAACTGACCACTCAATTATGGCCTTTTAAGAGGAAGCACTGGGGATCTATGGGGGAGATTTGCTAAACCTGGAGAGTGTAAAATCTGGAGCAGCTGTACATGGGAGCCAATCAGCTTCTCACTTCAGCTTGTTAAATGAAGCTTTGACAATCAAATCTGGAAGTGGATGGCTCCCATGCACAGCTGGACCAGATTTTGCACTCTCCACTTTTCGCAAATCAACCCCTAATGAGTCTTTCCAAAAAAGGCCAGCCCGTGATGCATGAAGCCCAGCCAAGAAACAGTTCTCGGTGGAGCTGACCTTCAAGAAATACAATTGGAGAAAAATAGGTGGGAAGACCTATAAATCCAGTCATTGATGCTCAGCTCGTCCTCTCAATATAAAAATAAAGCTTTTTACAGATGTTCGCTCTCTGGTACAAGACTGAAAAGGGACAAAAAACACATTAAAAAAGACAAACTATTTATAAATGCAGCGAGTAAAGTACAGGGGGCGCTGTACACAGGGAGCCGTCATTTGAGAGAATTCCTCTTCCTGGAGATCTGCTGGCTGGCCTGTTCTTCCAGCTGCATCGCCGTACGCAGGGATGACACGCTCTCTGTGAACAAAAAAAATAAAGTACATCTCCGGGACAATATAAAATCAAAACCCAACATGGATGCATGCTCAGTGAGAACAGCCATTTTTTCTTTTACTTGCATGTGCCTATCCCGCCAGTTCCTGGGTAGGATAGTTCCAGCAGAAGAACAAGGTTTGCTGGCCAATCCTAAACCCTCCCCCTTTCCAGTGCCAATGGTATTAAAAGGAAGCTGGGACTGAAAGCCTGCATTCCAGTCACTGGAGCCCAGTCACTGGAGCCCAGTCACTGGAGCCCAGTCACTGGAGCCCAGTCACTGGAGCCCAGTCACTGGAGCCCAGTCACTGGAGCCCAGTCACTGGAGCCCAGTCACTGGAGCCCAGTCACTGGAGCCCAGTCACTGGAGCCCAGTCACTGGAGCCCAGTCACTGGAGCCCAGTCACTGGAGCCCAGTCCGACCCATTTCACCCAAAAACAGCTGAATGGTGAAATTCCATTTGGTTAAAACCTGTTCACAAGTCTGCCCAGATCACACCTCAGTTGATCTCGTCCTGGAACGATAAAGCTTTGTGAAGGCTGTCATGGTTTAATGTACGGCTTGTCCAGTCAATGCCTAGAGCTGGCCATCATAAACAGATCCTCCCACCCTCACTAGAGCCCATCTTGGGAGGAGAGGGATTGCTGTTGCATGTCAATGTCATTTAGGTCCTGCCTGCATAGAATGGTTCATGGGGGGGCTTAGTCATGTGACCACATTGAACCCTGAAATAAGATGTGCCCAGTTTACTTTGCTGCCCGCTCAAGCTGAGCTTGCGAGTTCAGTATAAGGCTACATGCACACAGCCGCAGGCATTTTACGGATTGTGGTTTTTCTGAGGGAAAAAAAAAAAAAAAAAAAAAAAAGAAGGTTCTTATATAAAGTGTTGAGTAAAATGCTTGTGATTGGCTACATATGTAGCACCTCCTAGAAAAGGTTTACAGAGAGGTTCAGATAAACCTACTTCTTTAGTTCCTCGGTTTTCATTGGTGTGGGATTATTTTTGGCTGTTCTCGGGTCTCAATAGTTGCAGGCTCCACGGCTTCCCCCTGCCTTCCTGGTCAGAAGAGGCAGGCTCTTCTCAAAACAAGGGGAGGGGCCTGAACATGGCACCGTGAGGCGCAGGAGCTCCAGACGCCCGCAAGGCATGACGGATAGAGGGTTCCCGTTTGCCTGGGACTTTGGCTGGTGTGGTGTCAGATGGCTGTGGGGCTTCTGTGGGCAGGCGGCCCTCATGGTGTTCGGCGGCGTCAAGGGGGCCCTGCCTGTTTGGGGTGCTGGGGCGGGGGCCAGTGGGCTGCATCTGAGGAGATGGGGATGACCTGAGAGCCCAGGTGACAACCTATGTGACTGTGTGAGTGACAGGAAACCTTAAAAGGTCTGGCAGAGCGGTGAGGCTCAGATGGGGAAGAGGCAGGGCAGGGCCCCGGGGGAAGAGGCAGGGCAGGGCACCCCGTTTTGAGACTGTGCTCTTAGGTGTACCTGAGCTACCCCAGGCTACCTGAGGTTGAGAGACCCCCCCCCCCCCCCCCATTTACACTGCAGGAAATTCAGTACGGCGGTCTCGACTGCAACCAAAAAGTGTGAACTGGGACAGTACGAGTCTAACCTGCTGGAGGGTGTTGGGGAGTTGTCGTGGGTAATGGCAGGACATTTAAATATTTGTAGTTTACATTGTATGTGTTGCAATCTAAAGTATACCTGACCGGGGGGGGGGGGGGGGGGGGTCTTTGGTTGGTCAGAGGATTGTATTGGGGGGGCACACAGTGGTTGACTGAATATTTCAAATTACTCCCAAAGTACCACAGTGGGGGTTGTAAAGGTCATCAGTAGGAAAGGAAAGACTTCCCCTGGGCACGATAACATAGTATTTGTGTCTCAATGGATAACCCAGTGACAAAATCTAAAGAGAGTGCGCGTCCTGCACGCTCCCAGCACATGTCGGTGCCTCACGGAAAGCTCCCGATCTCCCCTTGCGATCGAGACCATTTCCAATCATGCAACGCCGATGGGTGGGGTTTTAGGGTCATGTGACCGCTGTGATTTGTCATCACATGACCCTAAAACCCCGCCCCTCAGCGGTGGAAACCCCTTAAAGGGCCGGGAGGCGCCGGCATGAAGAGGTTAAAAGCCCAAGACCTTCCTCGCCTGGTCACCGAGTTGTGGGTCTGTCTGAGGTATTGTGTGCCTGGTTACCTGTACACCAAATTGGAAAGAACCTGGAACAAACCAGCGGAGCCCTTCAGGCGGTACACAAAATTTCAGTTCTAGATCCTCCTCCTGCTGTTTTTTTTTCAATTCCAGAATGCAACTTTTGCATTTATAGATCCAGATCTGAACACCTGTATGCATGTCCCGATTGGGAACAAAAACACCCGCATTCAGGTCCATAAACAAAAAAAAAAAGGATTTTAATTTGCCTTTTTGTGCGCGTCGCCCAAAAACATTGCCACACAACCACTTGATGACCAGACCCCCCCCCCCCCCCCCCCCCCCCCCCCCCCCCAGCCTTCCATGGCTCTCCTGTCCCACCAGCTGACCATAGGAGGTCATTGGAGACCAGAACAGCTCCAATCATCGCTACGATCTAGACAACCTGAAGCGATGAGCATTCCTTTCTTTCGAGTTACCGGATGTAAACAGTGAGCAAAAGTATCAGGACCCGGTGATTGGACGCTGCTGCGGGGACAGACGGAATTGTTCCTTGCAATATTCCTGCCCCATGTCCAATATTGGTAAATATTCCCCCATGATGAGGGAAATTCCAGTCACAATGAGCACTTACCACCTAATGCAATGAGGGCCTTGGAGCTCTCCTGGATGAGATATTCCGCTTGCATTACAAAACTCTCCATGTCGTAGTCTGGCTGCTCCGTCATCTCCAGCAGGTTGGACCATTCCGGGGCTCTCTGCAATGACAGCGCAGCAACATGAACTCCAGAGAGCTTTAGGGCCGTGTGACGCGAGTCACTTTGGGTGGGGGGCCCATGGAACACAGCTCAGTTTGGAGGGGGGGGGGGGGTTAGGATATCCCCTGTCTCAGCTCCGCATATCCCTCTTATGGGTAAGTCACCCTGTACCTGTTAGGGGTACAGGGTGATCTGTCCTAATATTGGGGTGGGGGGTTGTGGATTGTTTAATGCCATGTGGTTGCATCCCATTGTTCTATTGTGTCTTGCTTGGGAAAAAATTATGTGATGTGTGTGTACTGGCTTGGTGGGGGGGGGGGGTTCCGGCAGCCTTCCCCCCTGATGGGACTGTCTGCTGTTGTGTCTCTTGTTACTGGGTGTGGATTGCCCCGCCCTGTGTCATTATGCAGGGAAGTGGATGGTTCCCTTGAATGTATATATCTTGTGTCTGTGTTAAAATAAAGTAGTCTATTTCCTGGTTTACTTCAAGAGTGGTTTCTGTGGTTGGTGTTCAGACAGGGAAGCGGGAGTCTAACGGACATACCAAGCGCAGTCTGGGTCGGTTCACACTATAGAAACAGTCCAGGTTTCCACTTGCGCATTTTTGATGCATTCTGGTGGGTCCCCCACCCACCCACTGGCACCAGTGATGAGCCACTGGTCCCCCACCCACCAGCACCAGCGATGGGCCACTGCTCCCCCACCCACCCACCGGCACCAGTGATGGGATGAGATATTGTTTATTCCCTCTGACACCGGGGCATTTTCTATCCCCACTGGCCACAGTCCCCCCCCCCCCCCCCAAAGTCTGAAGGGCAGTAAACAGGCCCCTTGATTACAAAGTTTGGAGACCCCCACCTTCCAGTGATCTCCCATCTCTTAGGGCTCTAATCTTACCTGCACCAAGTCCCGGAGCTCCTCCACAGCTTTCTCCTCCAGCTCCCCAATCCGGCTCATGGCTTCCTGGAAACTGCACAAATGGCCGGAGAGTTCTTCATCCTTCAGAGACAGCTACAGAGACACAGAACCGACAATCAGAACTGCAGAGTCCACAGCCTGTCCCCAAATGTAACCAACAGCAGGACAGGACTCCCTGTACAATGGGAGCTCACTGGGATCTTTTTCAGCTCAAGAGACAACGCATGTCTAGAGCCCATAAAGCCAATAGTGTAGTCTAAGAGTCCCAAATCACAAAGTTCCCCAATGTCCTGACATACCATTTGTAACCCCTTTTGAAAATGCTAGTTGCTTGGCTGCTTTGGACTTCCAAACTTCTATTTGCTCCATGTTTGTTAGTGCTCATTGATTCAAACAATTTCTTGGTATCAGAATCTCCTCATACATTTAGAGGTTCTTCAAGCAGCAGAGCGGCACCACGAAGACGTAGCACCACTCCCTGCACCATGGAGTTCAGGTCTGAAAGGCTCCCTAGGATCACAGAAGTGGGTAGATTGATGCTGGGCAGCCAGATGACAAGTATTACTGGACTGAGTATGTCTATGTGGTGGTGGTGGGGTTGTGCTGAGATGAGGCAAGTAACAGCCAGAACCAGAAAGATGATCAGAACTTCCCCACAAAAAAAAAAAAAAAAAAAAAAAAAAGGGGAAATTGCATCTTTATTGGGTCCATAAAAAGCAAAACTACAACGTGTATCCATTCTTTATATAGCAGGGTGCGGTTTTAAGACCACGCTTTTCAACCACTTCTGGGTCCTGGTCAGGTTTCTCTCCAGCTAGAACACCATCAATAAACACCCCACATACCAAACACTATACCCCCTTATTGGGGAAAACATTAAGGATTGATGTCATGTCCAGCTGTGCAGACAGGTGGATCACATAGAAATCTTCACTGCAGGGATGCCCAGTCCTCTTCCGTCTCTGAAATCCCAGTGCTGTGGGGGTTAATGGCTTTGGTTTTTCTGCGAGTCACAGATTCTCACCCCCATTTCATAGATCATTTAGAGAAGTGAAAGCAATGAGGAGAAAAAAAAAAAAAAAAAAGTTAAGGCAGGAGACAGGTCCTCAAGAGACTTACACAGCAGCTTCATAAAAGCCATTAACCCCCGCAGCACCAGAAATTCAGAGGCAGGAAGAGGACAGGGCACCCCTGCAATGAAGATTTCAATGGGAGCCAGCTGCCTACACAACATGGGACACCCTTCATTAAGTTAACTCGCTAAAGCTATAGAGCGGGGGTCTCCAAACATTTTAAGTAAAGGGGCAGTTTGCGGTCCTTCAGACTTTAAGGGGCCAGATGGGGCCCAGTGGGAGTAAGCAATGCCCAATCTTTGGTAATAGGGGGAGAAATAGTATCAGTGAGAATAGTGCCCCATCATTGGTGTCAGTGGCAGGAATAATGCCTCAGGGGCCAGATAAAGTCAAGCAAAAGGGCCGCATCCAGCCCCAATGCCACAGTTTGGAGACCACAGCTCTAGGAGGTTCTTTTTTTTTTTTTTTTTTTTTTTAAATTAGCTAGCTAGATAAGCTTTAAAACCATCAAGAAAACTGCTTAAAACTGGCCAGAACCTTTGTAAAGGCAAGGTGCGCACACTGCTATAATAGCAGGCAAATCCCAAGTAAACAAAATCTAACTGGAAGTACAAGATCTGTCCTCACTTACATCATCTTGGAAATCCAATCCTCCAATGGAGGACTGAGAGCCATCACTGAACTCCGTCTCCATTTGCTGATTATCTGCAGGTTCGCTGGTGTGAGGACTCAGCTCCTTCACCCTGAAAGAGGAAAGGGCAATGTTACCGATCAATACCAGACAGAGGAAAGGGCAAGGTTACCCGATCAATACCAGACAGACAAAGGAAAGGGCAAGGTTACCGATCAATACCAGAAGACAAAGGAAAGGGCAAGGTTACCGATCAATACCAGACAGAGGAAAGGGAAAAGTTACCGATCAATACCAGACAGAGGAAAGGGAAAGGTTACCGATCAATACCAACAGAGGAAAGGGAAAGGTTACCGATCAATACCAGACAGAGGAAAGGGAAAGGTTACCGATCAATACCAGACAGAGGAAAGGGTCCAAAGGGAAAAGGTTACCGATCAATACCAGACAGACAAAGGAAAGGGCAGGGTTACCGATAAATACCAGACAGACAAAGGAAAGGGCAGGGTTTACCGATCAATACCAGACAGAGGAAAGGGAAAGGTTACCGATCAATACCAGACAGAGGAAAGGGAAAGGTTACCGATCAATACCAGACAGAGGAAAGGGCAAGGTTACCGATCAATACCAGACAGAGGAAAGGGCAAGGTTACCGATCAATACCCATCACGTGATAGAGGGAGGCGATCCAACCCCCCAGGAACCCACCTGTCTGCGTATCTCAGCGTGTTCAGCGTGTACTCGCAGGATCCGAATCCCGGGGACAGCATCGCGATCTGTAACACCACAAATGTCACATTATACACGCAGATTCTACGGGGAAATCTCACAGCCAATAGAGGATCAATAAATCCGAATCCCTTCTTACAAAGCCGATTTTCGGAGGAGATGGGATTGGTGGATTTACCATCTATTTCTTGCAGCGCACCAGGAGACACGGAATTCAGAGACTTGCATTCGTTTGCTACATTTAATAGTGAATGCAAAGCTTGAATATTTTTTCCCCCCTCCTTCCCTACTCTGCAATGGTTGTGCACAGAGCAGCCCCGATTCTCCTCCTCTGAGGTCCTCCAGCGCTCCTGGCTCCTCCCCCCTACAGGAAGCCGCTTCCTATGGGGGTACTCATGCATGCTCGATCCCTAGCCTAGCTCGGCCCATCCCATCCGCTTACGGGTTTTGACTGACTGCTGCTCTCAGCCAAGCCTGTGAGAGGTGAGAAGGGTGAGAAGAGTTGCTGCAGACGTATGCAACGCTGGATCGGGACTGGGCTCAAGTGGGTATTAAGAGGGGGGTGGGGGTGAGAAAAAAAAAATTAAAAAAGGCATGTTACCTTAATGCAGAAAATGCCTTGAAGGAAAAAAAAACCACCTTCCATGCCGGAGCATCCGAGATGTGATCGCTGATCAGATGTAGGCAAGGCCAACAAAGCTTTGTCAAGACCCAATACTGCCAGGTTCACAATGGGAGAAGCCCACTTTTCAACAAAGGTCTCCACAAACAGACCAATGGTCATTGGGGGAACAACCTGACGGGATTCAGCCAGTGTCCAGGGCAAAGGTTTATGGAGGTCGGGAAGACTTGAGCATGATACTGAACTGTGCAGAGAGAAAAAAAAATTCTACACAGTGTCAGGCCTTTCAGTAGGTGCATCAGAACCATTAGTGGGTCATAATCTGGAGGCACCTGGGGCAGCAGGACTGTTCTTGTATTTAGGATCCAACCGGTTGCACCACAAAAGCAGGGTGAGCATAGCTCAGGGTACAAGGCTAGGCCTTGAAGTTACACAATACAGCTGTTGGTAGCAGGTGGTCAGGTAGCTGGAGGTGACCAGGTCACCAAAGATGGATCGATCCTTAGTTTCTGCTACCCATCTTTGATGCCCTGGTCACCTCCAGCTACCTGACCTTCTGCTAAGGATAGATACATCTTTGGGTGACCTGGTCACCTCCAGCTACTGGACCTTCTGCTACCAGCAGCTGGTTTGTGCATATCAAGGCCTAGCCTTGTACCCTGAGCTATGCTCACCACCCTAGTTCCAGTGAAGGGATCTCCTAAGGCAACATTTTGGACAATTTCATGCTCCCAAATTTGTGGGAAGAGTTTGGGGATGGTCCCTTCCTGTTCCAACATGACTGCCCACCAGTGCACAAAGCAAGGTCCATCAAGACATGGAGGAGCCAGTTTGGGGTGGAGGAACTTGACTGTCCTGCACAGAGTCCTGACCTCAACCCCATAGAACACCTTTGGGATGAATTAGAGCGGAGACTGCAAGCCGGGCCCCCCTCCGACATCAGTGCCTGACCTGACAAATGTGCTTCTAGAAGAACGGTCCAACCTTCCCATAGACACCCTCCTAAACCTTGTGGACGGCCTTCCCAGAAGAGTTGAAGCTGTTATAGCTGCAAAGGGCGGGGCCAACTCAATATTGAACCCTATGGACGAAGACTGGGGGGCCATTAAAGGTCATGTGCGTGGAAAGGCCGGCGGCCCAATGCTGCGGGCAATAAACTTTTAGGCAAGCATTACTAAAGTAGGCGGTTTTGGCAGAACCTACACAACGGGGCCATGGTGGTACCAAACGTACCCTACTGGTAGACGTCATTTCTAAACCATGTACACAAGTCCCATAGAGCTCTGTATTACCATGCAAGTCCTGGAGTTCTCCCCAATGAAGGAATCCCGGAGGATTTGGGTCAGTTTACTCTCCCGAAACGGGGTGTGAGCCTTGTTCTGCCCCAACGCACGGATACATTCCTGGAACACAAAAACCATAACATTTAGAAAGAGGCCTCAGGTCTTCGGTCAGTTTCTCAAATCACTGAAACCGATATATCAGTTTATACACAAAAGAGATACTAATGCCTTCATTTTTCTTTTTAAAAAGTAACAAACATGTTCTACTTACATGCTCTAATGGTTTTGCACACAGCAGCCTCGATCCTCCTCGTTGGTGCTCTAGGCTCCTCCCCCTCACCGTGTTCCCCCCGCAGCAAGTTGCTTGCTATGGAGGCACTCGTGCATGCTCACTTCTGAGCCCCGCTCTGTGCATCCATAAGACACAAAAAGGGGCTCGACTCTTCCCCCTCCTCACTGACTGTGATTGACAGCAGCAGGAGACAATGGCAGAGAGCCGGAACAGCAGACGCGCTTGAGCCGCGCTGAATCCGGGCCGAGCTCAAGTAAGTAATGGGGTGCTGCACACTGAAGGTTTTTTACCATCATGCATGAAGGTATAAATAAATTCAGGCTTTACAACCACAAGATCCCCGGAACCGGCGCTCATGGCTCCAGCTCTCCCCGGACCCCGCATTCACTATATCCTGTCTCCCCCCAGACCCCGCATTCACTATATCCGGTCTCCCCCAGACCCCGCATTCACTATATCCGGTCTCCCCCAGACCCCGCATTCACTATATCCGGTCTCCCCCAGACCCCGCATTCACTATATCCGGTCTCCCCCAGACCCCGCATTCACTATATCCGGTCTCCCCCAGACCCCGCATTCACTATATCCGGTCTCCCCCAGACCCCGCATTCACTATATCCGGTCTCCCCCAGACCCCGCATTCACTATATCCGGTCTCCCCCAGGACCCCGCATTCACTATATCCGGTCTCCCCCAGACCCCGCATTCACTATATCCGGTCTCCCCCAGACCCCGCATTCACTATATCCGGTCTCCCCCAGACCCCGCATTCACTATATCCGTCTCTCCCCAGACCCCGCATTCACTATATCCGGTCTCCCCCAGACCCCGCATTCACTATATCCGGTCTCCCCCAGGACCCCGCATTCACTATATCCCGGTCTCCCCCAGACCCCGCATTCACTATATCCGGTCTCCCCCAGACCCCGCATTCACTATATCCGGTCTCCCCCAGACCCCGCATTCACTATATCCGGTCTCCCCCCGGACCCCGCATTCACTATATCCGGTCTCCCCCCGGACCCCGCATTCACTATATCCGCTCCCCCCGGACCCCGCATTCACTATATCCGCTCCCCCGGACCCCGCATTCACTATATCCGCTCCCCCCGGACCCCGCATTCACTATATCCGCTCCCCCGGACCCCGCATGCATTCACTATATCCGCTCCCCCCGGACCCCGCATTCACTATATCCGCTCTCCCCCCCCGGACCCCGCATTCACTATATCCGCTCCCCCCGGACCCCGCATTCACTATATCCGCTCCCCCCGGACCCCGCATTCACTATATCCGCTCCCCCCGACCCCGCATTCACTATATCCGCTCCCCCCGGACCCCGCATTCACTATATCCGCTCTCCCCGGACCCCGCATTCACTATATCCGCTCTCCCCGGACCCCGCATTCACTATATCCGCTCTCCCCGGACCCCCGCATTCACTATATCCGCTCTCCCCGGACCCCGCATTCACTATATCCGCTCTCCCCGGACCCCGCATTCACTATATCCAATCCCCGGACCCCGCATTCACTATATCCGCTCTCCCGGACCCCGCATTCACTATATCCGCTCTCCCCGGACCCCGCATTCACTATATCCGCTCTCCCCCGGACCCCGCATTCACTATATCCGCTCTCCCCGGACCCCGCATTCACTATATCCGCTCCCGGGACCCCGCATTCACTATATCCGCTCTCCCCGGACCCCGCATTCACTATATCCGCTCTCCCCGGACCCCGCATTCACTATATCCGCTCTCCCCGGACCCCGCATTCACTATATCCGCTCTCCCCGGACCCCGCATTCACTATATCCGCTCTCCCCGACCCCGCATTCACTATATCCGCTGATCCGCCTCCCCGGACCCCGCATTCACTATATCCGCTCTCCCCGGACCCCGCATTCACTATATCCGCTCTCCCCCAGACCCTGCATTCACTATATCCGCTCTCCCCAGTACATGGAAATGCAATTAGTTTAGTAAATATAAACTGCTAAATCCCTTTTCTCATCAGCAGTATATAGCGGTCTTGTGATTTCTATCAGTGTCCAGCAGAGCACTGGTTAAAGCTTGTAGGAGGAGTTTTCTTTCTGCACTAGGAGGATGCAGAACCCCTGAACTGTCTGGATAGTGCTGATTGACCCTGTGCTGATCACATGCACTCTCCCAAATAAAAAAACCTCAAACCAAACTGAGCATGTGCAGAGTGACTCCACACATATTATTATTATTTATTTATCGAGTTTATATAGCGCCAAAGGGTTTGCTCAGCGCTGTACAATAGAGGGGGGGGGGACAATACATGAAACAGTACAGTAACATCAAACAGCACACAAGGGGTAAGAGGGCCCTACTCTTTCGAGCTTACAATCTAGGAGGGAGGGGGTAGAGGTTTAATATATAGGTTTAATCAGGTTTAATCAGGAGATAAGAGGGGGGCACTGGAAGAAGGGGAGGATCAGAGAAAACAGGATTGAACTGCATTTTTACACAATACAGATTAACCCCTTAGGTTCCACAATGAATATAACAAGCACGCTTTACTGCATCTACAGACTGATTGTATTGTTGTGGATTTAGTAACACATTAAAAGCCATGATAGGTTCACTTTAAGACCTATATGCCAACATGATGGGGGGGGGTAATAGGCACCTTGCGGTGTCTGGATTTGTCCTTTGGAACCCCTACATCCTGGACCCAGGTGGCACACATGGCTTCGGCTTCTAGTATGGTCAATGCCAAGCCTCCCCCCCCTCCCCCGCAGCTGCCAAAAAACAAAGCCCCATCAGCCAGAGGTTAGTGCAGCATGGCCTTCACAGGAGCACAAATACGATAGAAGAGCTATAAAAAGGTCTGTGCTCCAGCAGTTTGAGTCCCCCTCCAGACCAGGCTTGAGCTTCCCTCTTCCCCCCTCTAGGCCAGGCTTGAGCTCCCCCCCCCCTTCCCCCCCTCTAGGCCAGGCTTGAGCTCCCCCCTCCAGACCAGGCTTAAGCTCCCCCCTCTTCGCCCCTCCAGACCAGGCTTGGTCCTTTAAGCAGAATCCAGAGAAACTCCCCTACGGGCAGGCGACCATGACAGCCCCCTCCCTTCCCCCACAGCACCCACATCATTACCTTTAAGGCAAGCAAACTGCGGTTGATCTCCGCCCCCCCCTCCATGCGCGTTATGCGGTCTGCGCTGGCGGTGTCGGCACCTCGCTCGTTTCCAGCCAAGTCAACCAAGGAAAACTTGCCGTGAAGCTTCCCCCGCCGTCTCAGGATGATTTGTAGGCAAGCGTGAGAACGCGAGGAGCTGCTGTTGGCAAACGTCTGACCGGAAGTCCTGTGAGGAGTAAACCCAACTCATAAATGATCACTGTAGGTGAGGTCGTTGGCCAACGGATGAGGAGGACATGGCAGTGATTGGCCAATAAATGAACTCTCCAGAAGCCTTGCCTTGTTCACACAGGCATATACTAGCGTAGGTGGGTGGGGGAGGGCAGTGTCTGCCCACATGGGGATGGAAAGGGGTTCCAGGTACCCCATGCAGGTAGTCCCATTTAATTGGGATGTAGCGGCTGCATGGACACAAACACGGCTACCAATCTGACAGCTGTGCGGGGGGCAGGGTCCCGGATGCAGACAGTGTGCGCGCTTACTGCGTCCCAACTAAAAATGGGACTACTTGCATGGAACACCTTGGCGGGTTAAGGGACCCTCAAAGGGGGTGTATATGCTATAATACGACCATGTGAACAAGGCCCAAGAAATCATTACATCAGGGAAGGAAAAAAAAAAAAAAAAAAAAAAAAAAAAAAAAAAAAAAAAAAAAAAAAAAAAGGAAACACCACACTCACCTACAGGCACTGCCAACCTCAATCATCTTAAAGACATCCTCCGCACACGAGACTTCTCTCTCCATCAACCCCACCACCTGCACCTCCTGTTTGGCATCTTCCAGCACACGGAGCTTCACCTTTTTGTTTAGGAGATCAAATACCTGAATACAGAAACAGCAGAGGAGGAATTCCATTATTCAAAATGGATATCAAAATTCAGATTTAATAAGCAAGAATAAAAATATTAAAATAGTATTAATTTTTATTTCAATTAGTATCCTTTTTATTTTATAATTAAAATAAAAACTATAAAATAAATAAAAAGGATACCAATTATTTTATAATAATCTTTTTTAATTTTATTTTAATTAGTATTGTTTTAATTAGTATCATTTTTAATTTTATAATAAGTTAATTAGTATTTTTTATTTTTAATAAATTTAATAACACTACCTGCATGGAGTTTGTATGCTCACTTTTTTTTTTTGTTAGGTGGACCTTCAAAAAGGTTTTAGTATCAAGTGCTTAAAAAAAAAAAAAAAAAAAAAAAAAAAAAGTCCTGGATTCTTTCTTGGATACAAAGAACATAACATTTATAGGGAAAGTTGATCCAGGGAATATCCGATTGCCTTTTTTCCCCACCATGAGAGTTTATAACGGGAAGGCAGAAAAGAGGGTGGTTGGAGGAGAACAGAGGAGCGTCGAGGGGGGCGGGACAAGGGAGGACGATCTCGGATCACTGTGTCCTTACTGTGCACGAGCAGCGCCCATACACGACCTCAAACACTCCTCCGCTGCTGGCACCGCACAGACTGAGTACCTGCAACATTTTGGGGTGGAGGAGCAGCAGAATGACCAGAAAATGAAAGGGTGCCTGGCTTCAGCTGCACACAGTTAAAAATGGCTGCTGTAGTACAACAGGGGTAGTGCCCTTCCAGACTACTTTTGGCATATGAAGAAGGCAGATTTTGTCATTTTAAGAAGAAATTCACAGCTGACTTTTTTACCCCAAAATTCACAAAGTTTAACTGAAGCCCTTTATCTGAGTTTACCACCCCCCCCCCCTCCCCCCCTCCCCCCCCCCCCCCCCCCTCCTCCTCTGGTCGCCTCCTGTGCCACGTCCGCAGTCTCTGGTCATCCTCTGTACCGTGTCCGCAGTCTCTGGTCATCTCCTGTACTACAGTCAGGTCCATAAATTTTGGGACATGGACACAATTCTAACATTTGTGGCTCTATACACCACCGCATGGGATTTGAAATGAAACGAACAAGATGTGCTTTAACTGCAGACTGTCCACTTTAATTTGAGGGTATTTTCCATCCAAATCAGGTGAACGGTGTAGGAATTACAACAGTTTGCATATGTGCCTCCCACTTGTTAAGGGACCAAAAGTAATGGGACAATTGGCTTCTCAGCTGTTCCATGGCCAGGTGTGTGTTATTCCCTCATTATCCCAATTACAATGAGCAGATAAAAGGTCCAGAGTTCATTTCAAGTGTGCTATTTGCATTTGGAATCTGTTGCCGTCAACTCTCAAGATGAGATCCAAAGAGCTGTCACTATCAGTGAAGCAAGCCATCATTAGGCTGAAAAAACAAAACAAACCCATCAGAGAGATAGCAAAAACATTAGGCGTGGCCAAAACAACTGTTTGGAACATTCTTAAAAAGAAGGAACGCACCGGTGAGCTCAGCAACACCAAAAGACCCGGAAGACCACGGAAAACAACTGTGGGGGATGACCAAAGAATTCTTTCCCTGGTGAAGAAAAACACCCTTCACAACAGTTGGCCAGATCAAGAACACTCTCCAGGAGGTAGGTGTATGTGTGTCAAAGTCACCAATCAAGAGAAGACTTCACCAGAGTGAATACAGAGGGTTCACCACAAGATGGAAACCATTGGTGAGCCTCAAAAACAGGAAGGCCAGATTAGAGTTTGCCAAACGACATGTAAAAAAGCCTTCACAGTTCTGGAACAACATCCTATGGACAGATGAGACCGACATCAACTTGTACCCAGAGTGATGGGAAGAGAAGAGTATGGAGAAGGAACTGCTCATGATCCTCGCATACCACCTCATCAGTGATCATGGATGGGGGTAGTGTCATGGCGTGGGCATGTATGGCTGCCAATGGAACTGCTTTCTCTTGTATTTATTGATGATGTGACTGCTGACAAAGCAGCCGGATGAATTGTGAAGTGTTTCGGGAATATTAATCGGCTCATATTCAGCCAAATGCTTCACAACTCATTGGACGCTTCACAGTGCAGATGGACAATGACCCAAAGCAGACTGCAAAAGCAACCAAAGAGTTTAAGGGAAAGAAGTGGAATGTTCTGCAATGGCCAAGTCCATCACCTGACCTGAACCCGATTGAGCATTTCACTTGCTGAAGACAAAACTGAAGGGAAAATGCCCCAAGAACAAGCAGGAACTGAAGACAGTTGCAGTAGAGGCCTGGCAGAGCATCACCAGGGTTGAAACCCAGCGTCTGGTGATGTCTAATACATTCCAGACTTCAGGCTGTAATTGACTGCAAAGGATTTGCAACCAAGTATTAAAAAGTGAAAGTTTGATTTATGATATATGCTGTCCCATTACTTTTGGTCCCTTAACAAATGGGAGGCACATATGCAAACTGTTGTAATTCCTACACACCGTTCACCTGATTTGGATGTAAATCCTCAAATTAAAGCTGACAGTCTGCAGTTAAAGCACATCTTGTTCGTTTCATTTCAGATCCATTGTGGTGGTGTATAGAGCCAAAAATGTTAGAATTGTGTCGATGTCCGCAGTCTCCGGCCATCTCCTATACGGTGTCCGCAGTCTCCGGGAGTCCGTTGATTCAGAATATTTTTTCTCTCGTTTTCCTCCTCTAAAACCTAGGTGCATCTTACGGAGTGAATATGGTATATATTATGTTTTCTACTACCTATTAAAGTGCTATAGATAAGGCATTTGTCCGTATTTATGAACTTAAAAAAATGGAAGGACTGCAAAGGGTAAACTCCTCCCCCCACATGCAGCGACACCCAATCCATCTATTTGGGAAGATTAGGGGACGGGAACCTTAATGTATCCTATCCCTATTCAGCACCATGACAGCCATGGTGGCCCAGAAGCAACAATGCCTTCTCCACACAAGTGCTGATGCCCATAGACCGTGACGAGTGTTTATGTGGCTTGGGCCGCCATGTGCCATGTTAAGTGTATGGGGACACAGAAGCTGCATGGAATGCAAATATGACGACATGCACTCAGGTGCATGATCCCCAAAAGCAATGACTGGCTGCATTCAGGATCACTTACCTGCATACATTAAATTAGAACCGTGTCCATCCACTTACATGGGCTGCCTGCATGCAGCTCCTGGTGGCTCGACACACACACCCCACACCACAGTCTACAGGCCTCGGCGCCTATGTGAATGAGGCCAAAGCAGTACAGAGTTATTGGCAAAGCTTTAGCGCGTCGCATCCTCCAGAAGCACGGACCAGACAGATGTATTATTACAGAAGACAATCCAAGATCCCGCAGAACTTACATGCAAAAGCGTAGATTCCTTTCGTCACATTTTGGCTTTTCCCCAGGAAGTCGCCACCCATCGTCTGCAAAGAAAGTCAGTGAAAAGTCTGTATGAGCAGCAAAGTATTCCATAAACCCAATCAGCATCTTGTCTCCCCCCCCCCCCCCCCCCCCCCTTCTACCTGAAGGGAGGGAGAAGTGGCAGTTATCCGAAAAACTGCATATGCTTGTACTGTATGCAGAGACAAACGAGGGGTCATAATGACACATGCAATGTGCTGGCTAGTGGAACAGTTCTGATTGACTGATGGTCCAGCATGATGTTAGGAGCTGCTCACTGAACTTTCTAATCATTACCCAAAAAAAAAAAAAAAAAAAAAAAAAAAGGGAAACCAAAACACACATTTGACAGTTAAAAGCAAAATTTATGATCGTGCTCCTGCACACATTTCTGTATCATAACTGTAGTTTATTTTTTGCAACAATTACTAGATTATCTAGAGAAGTTTTTTTTAAATTTTCAAATAAATTGCATTAAAACACAACGCTTGGACTATTACATGAATGTTTAACAAAATCCACTTACGTGGGTTTTGCCGCTTCCTGTTTGACCGTATGCAAAACACGTGGCCTTCCCTCCTTCAAATATGGACTGGACCAGAGGCCGGGCTGTGAACCTGGAGGAGGCCGGAGATAAAAACTGACTTAGATCATCAGATGCAACAAATTGGTAGCAGCAATATACGGTGCTCGGGCTAGTGAGAAAATCCAAAGTAGCCTAATAAGATATGGACACCTCATACATCCAATAGGTGTAGTAAACATACAGAATATGGATGTCGCTGGATGGATGGATGGATGGATGGACGAGCATGTGCTTTTTTTCCCCTATATGGAAGGGATATATGTTGGTAATGTATATACATACACACAGTACTGTGCATAAGTTTTAGGCAGGTGTGAAGAAATGCTGTAACATAAGAACACTTTCAAAAGACACTTTTTGTGGCATTATGTAAATTAATAAAGTAAGCAAACAAAACAAAAATCTAAAAATCAATATTTGGTATGACTACCCTTTGGCTTCAAACCGACATTAATTCTTAAACTTGCACAAAAGTCAGGGAGACAAAAACAGAAAACTGAAACAGCTATGTAGAAGCCTTAAAATTGGGTGAGGAACAGCCAAACTCTGCTAGTAAGGTGAGGATTCATGTCACAGGTCATAGACTGAGCACAGCAACAAGACAGTAGTTCTACTGCATCAGCAAGGTTCCTCCCAAAGAACTCAAATCAGACTTGGGTTTTACAATGGGCTGTTCAAGCAGTTTTGAAGAAGCACAAAGAAGTGGGCAACGGTCGAGGGACGTAGTCGCAGTGGTCGGGCCAAGAATACTTAATACAGCAGATGAGACACATCATGCTTCCTTCCCTTCTGGAAGATGTCCAGCAGTGCCATCAGCACAGAACTGGCGGAAACTAGTGGGACCCGGGTACACCCATCAACTTCCTGGAGAAGTCTGGCCAGAAGCGGTCTTCATGAAAGAATTGCAGCCAAAAAGCCAAACCTCCAACGTTGAAACAAGGCTAAGCGACTCAACTATACAAGAAAACAGGAACTGGGGTGCAGAAGAAAAAAAAAAAAAAGCTGCAGGTGCTCTGGGCCGAGTCAAAATGTGAAATATTTGGCTGTAGGAAGCAGATTGTTGGGGCTGGAGAGCGGGACAATAATGAGTGTCTGCAGCCAAGTGTGAAGCATGGTGGAGGTTCCTTGCAAGTTTGGGGGCTGCATCTCTGGAAATGGAGATTTGGCCAGGATCAATAGTGTCCTTAGTGCTAAGAAATACAGGCAGACACTTCATCATGCCATACCATCAAGGAGGCGTGCAATTGGTCTCAAATTTAGTCTGCAGCAGGACAATCAACCCAAACATACAGCCAATGTCATGAAGACCTATCTTCAGTGTATAAGAGAACAAGAAGTCCTGGAAGTGATGGTTTGGCCCCCACAGAGCCCTGATCTCACCATCATGGACTGTCTGGGATTACATGGGGACAGAGGGATTTAAGGCAGCCTACATCCACAGAAGATCTGGGCTCAGTTCTCCAAGATGTACAGAGAACAACCGACCTGCCGAGTTCCTTCAAAAAGTGTGCAAGTCTACCTAGAAGAAGGCAAGGGGATGGGAAAAAGGGGGGGGGGGGGGGGGGGGTTTCACATCAAATATTGATTCGGATTTCTCTTCTCTTCATTTACTTTTCATTTTGTTCATTAATAAATCCATCAAGTTATTTGGAAGACGCTATATTGTTGTAGGTCTATGTAGGCCAATTACAAAATTAGAGATTACCCGGCCTAATCAATATTCTTGAATCTGCACAACGTGATGCAATTTACAGATAGTTGGCCAATTCCCCCCCCCCCCCCCAGACAGAATAGAGTTTCCTCTGGAGATGTGCAATTCATTTTGAACCCATTGTGAGTGGAGTTTAATAGTATTTTTGGTTTAATTTTGTTTGTCGTATCACCAATTTAGGTTACTTTTTTGTTGGAACATTTTGATTACCTCTAGCCCCCCTGGTGAGCCCCGCAGGACCATAGGGGGGGAGTGCTGTTTATCCCCAAACCGAAGGGAACCCCGGGTGAGGCCACCCAGCAAAGCCCCTGCCTTGCTCATCCAGGATGCCTCTGTACCCCGCCAGATGGCCATAGTAGAAAAAAAAAAAAAAAGATATAACTGAGAGACGTTCCTGCAGGAGGAAACAAATACTGAGGGGCCCCTTTGTCTACTTCTAGAAAAAAAGAAAAAAAAAAAAAAAAAGAAGGAGTGCATCGCACGTTTCCAAAGAGGAGCCCATCTCTCATGTGAAGCTGTCCTGGAAGGTGACTTGGGAAATTTCGTTTTTTTGTGTACTTATGTTGTGTATTGAGCACAAATCACTTGTATGGGAATATCCCCCCTTTGGGGCACCATGTCAATCCAAGATCCATCACACTATTAAAAAACCTGAGGCTCACGGGTACCTGTACACCATGTCGTTGGTGGCCGTCTCATCGAAGGAATAGTCAAAGCGGAAGGCCTGGTTCTCTAGATACTTTGTGAGGTCCACTTTGAGTTTGGGCTCATGTACCAGAACCAGACTTTTACTAGGGACAGATATGATATCGATCTCCTTCTTGGTTAGCTCTGCAGAGGAGGAAAAAAAAAAAAAAAGGATGATAAAGTCATCACGAAGAGAAAGACAGCCCATCCTAAAGAGGGATTTGGCTCACCTTGCTTGTTGAGGGGCCTTTTCCGCACGCACACACAGATACGATGCTCCTCAGCCTGGAGAGAAGAGAGGTCATCAGGAAACAATCCATCATGGCTTCCTCTGACAAGGTTCACACTATAATCTCATGTACATGAGTCTACGTAGTCCTTCCCATCGTGGGGGTCAATGCCCACCGCTTCCTTCTCCTCCCCTCCCCCCACGTGACTTTTCTGGTCTCTTCCATTGGTTCCTACTGTTGCTCTCTTCCCTAACTTGTCTATACCCACCTACTCCCCTCCCCTATTTTTGAGCTGCAAAAGTTTATATTGAGCTATGAGTACCTGTCCTCAGTTCATCCTTATGCTTTTAAGCAATGGGCTTTCTTGAGGTGCCCATTAAGGTGTTGGGGCCACACCCCGTAGGCAGGTGTTCTATTGTCTAGAGGTAGTTGCGATGATATGGATGGTTTTACTAATGCATGTCAACGTTGCAAAATTGTGCTTAGGCATTAGGATTTGTTTTACCCTTAGGAGTGAAGGGGTTAAATGTCCTCTCAGTCAATATATTATACGCTGCCTGGTTATTGACATGAAGGTATAGGACTGATGTCACGGCACTGCTATAACGGTTAACGTGAATGATTTTCTGGACTCGACTAATGGCATATAACGATGCTTCTATTTCCGGTTATTTCTCTCAATAAAGTTGCTTTTTTTTTGAACATTAAAGAACATTCACTAGTTAGTGGGGTCAAAAATCGATATGTGAAATTCAAAAAGGAGCAGGATGGAAATGGTTTCCTTGAACGAACAAATTTCTAACAGTGAATGATTTTTGTTCAAGAAAGTCCATTTAACTCAAAACCAAAAAAGTGTTTTAAAAAAATAAATAAATAAATTGCATTTGAAAAACTGCTGCACAAAAATACCATGTGCCAAAGAATTGCAAAAGCCACCATTTTATTCTCTAGGGCCCACGCTAAAAAAAAAAAAAAAAAAAAAAAATTATGTTTGGGTGTTCTAGAGATTATATAATATAAATACTGTATAGGTATAGAGAATTTTTTTTTTTAATCTCTCTAGACCTATACAGTATTTATATTATATAATCTATAGTGTGGGTGTTCTAGATAATTTTCTGGCAAAGAAACCCCCAAAAAACTATAGATTACATAATATAAATATTGTATAGGTATAGAGAGCAGAGAAAAAAAAACCCACACAACAAAAAGCTATCGATTTTTACATGTAAACAAAAAGTTGTGGAAAAAGGCCTGGTATAAAAGTAGTCCTTGATCTCATGACCCATTTCCCCACATCAATGTCCAGCTACTTCACTCACCAAAAAGGTACATCAATTGCACCACCTTACCCTACCGACCACCACCATGTGGCTGGATGTGAAGTGATAGCTGGATCCTACTAAGGCAAAAAAAAAAAAAAAAAAAAAAAGTGTATTCTACGAACAACGAACACTGCAGTATAACAGAAATCCTGTGAGCACTCCACCCATAGATAGAGAACCTGTCATCAGCTTACAGAAAGCCCAACCTAACATGCAGTATGAAATGTGTTATGATGGTCAACAGCACCCTGCGCCCTCTCCGTTCCCGGCCAACAGCGCCCTACCCATTCCCGGCCAACAGCGCCCTGCGCCCTCTCCGTTCCCGGCCAACAGCGCCCTACCCATTCCCGGCCAAGAGCGCCCCTACGCCCTCTCCGTTCCCGGCCAACAGCGCCCTACCCATTCCCGGCCAACAGCGCCCTGCGCCCTCTCCGTTCCCGGCCAACAGCGTCCTACCCATTCCCGGCCAACAGCGCCCTGCGCCCTCTCCGTTCCCGGCCAACAGCGCCCTACCCATTCCCGGCCAACAGCGCCCTACGCCCTCTCCGTTCCCGGCCAACAGCGCCCTACCCATTCCCGGCCAACAGCGCCCTGCGCCCCTCTCCGTTCCCGGCCAACAGCGTCCTACCCATTCCCGGCCAACAGCGCCCTACCCATTCCCGGCCAACAGCGCCCTGCGCCCTCTCCGTTCCCGGCCAACACCGCCCTAAGGTCCTTCTCCACCAGAAACCCCCGGGCTTCTCAAAACACCAATTCAAGTTGGCTACATACATATTATTGGCGGCTAAACAAAACCATAGCAAAAGTCTGCAAACAACGGTTCATATACTTTACGGAAATTTATCACAGTCTAGATTTCTCTTTCTGGTAAATGGAAAAACTCTCCAGCATTCTTTCAGACACCCATGAGAGATTCCTTAAAACAAGGACTCCATGGATCCAACATGTCCATCCTGCTATACCAATAGATAGTTTCACTTCGCTATAAAATTTGGAGGTTCCATAACCCAAGTTCTGGCGCGGTTGACATTCTCCTTTGTCCCTCCCTTCCTCCCATTTTTCTTTTATTCCATTGGCTCTTCTCAGGGATGTCTTTGTATGTTCCATGTATTTCTTTGGCTACTTTATACATCTCAAGTGTTGTTTTTCGGTGCTATCAGATGTTGGGCATTGGGTGTATAGTCCTTCATCCATTCCATCGACGACGATATTGGCTTGATATGTGTTTTCTTCTTGACATGTCATTTACAGGTATGTTTTTGTTTGTGCACGACTGCCTTTTGAATCTCAATTGCTAAACATTTGCTTGTACACAAAATAGTGGTTGCATATATTCTAAAATTCAAAACTATTCAATAAAAATTTATTGAAAGGAAAAAAAAAAAAATGTGTGTAATGGTCACGTCTGAGGACTTGAACAGTCCTCCTCACAGTGCGACATCTGACATGCCAGAACTTTGTGTAAGGTGAGAAGTGCCGCTCTAGAGAACATCGCCATGGTGGTCTTGGCATCTTACCAGATCCGTCATGCTGATCCGCTGACATTCCAGGGTGGCTCGGAATTCCTTGATCATCTTCCCAAACTCCCAGTTGGGTGCGGTGGTGTCATAGTCCTGTATACAGAAGTTACACATTAAACATTCACACCCACCTATCAAACATCAGATGCCTGAAAGAGCGTTCTCCCCTGAGCCCATGTCGCTCCAACCAAAACCCATATTTCAGTGTCACGTACAGTAAATGCTGGAGAGTTAGCCCCCCGGTCACACCGCTCCAACTTTAAAAATGGTGCAGCTTGATTTCAAAGTCGGGTGCGATTTCGACTCAAGGTGCGACTTGCAAGACACCAGATGTCAATGGAAGTCGTACCTGAAGTAGAGCATGCACTACTTTCAAAATTGGTGCGACTCCGATCAAGTTGGAAACAACACCGATATGAATATCAATAGGGTATGACTTGCCGTGCGATTTGAAAAACTTGCATCGCATGACAAGTCCCACCTGGTATGACCGGGCACCTAAAAGTTCAACTTTTGCAACATATTCAGTAACAAAAGCCCTCAGATGAAGAGTACAAATGTAAAGGTATGCTCTCTTTTTTGGATATATTAGGAATAGTGGTGTCCTGTTGGGGAATTCCTCACTGTCACAAAGGCTCAATAAGAGAAAACATGTCCGGGGGGAAGCTCGCCTCCACACCTCCCGAGGGGGAAGCTCGCCTCCACACCTCCCGAGGGGGAAGCTCGCCTCCACAGGGGAAGCATCGCCTCCACACCTCCGAGGGGGAAGCTCGCCTCCACCCTCTCCCATCCAACCCACGGGTTTTTAAATACCTTAAAAAGTGTTTTTGTAAAGGCTGAAGGTACAGTCTATGTATGAAGGTTTTTTTTTTCTCTTAAAAAGGAAGTGTCTTATGGAGGCAGAGTGGGGCTCAGGAGCAAGCACACACCAGTGCTCCCAAGCAAGCAATTTGCTATTGGAGGCACTGGTCAAGAGGAGGAGCAAGGAGCGCCCAGGGGACCTCCCAAAAAAAAAAAAAACAAACACAAAAAAACGTACACACACACACCACAAATACATCCATGTGCTGAGTAGCTAGGCTCGTTTTATGTGATTGCTGTCATGCTGTTGATGCTGGTGTCGGCTGGGACACCTCTTGAGTAAGTGCAATGAGTACCTAATAAAGGAATTGGCTTTTATAATATTGCACCATGAAGTCTTTCTGTTTTCTCCTCGAGTGCCTGGCATTTCCCCCCATGGATACATTTGAAGGTGGTCTCTTTCTTTTGGAGAAGTGGATTTTCCGATTAATTGCAAAGTTTTTTTTTCATCCTGTTATTTGATCTATGAGGATTGGTGTGTTGCAGAGTTTCGTTTCTGAAAATATCTCTATGGATGATCTGCCATCATATTATCAAGGTTTTTTTGGTGAAATTTTTCATATTTAGACTTTTTTTGCACAAAAGTTTTTTGCACTTTTTTGTGGTATTGGCATATATTTTTTTTTCTGGACTTATGATTTGATGATTTTTTTATATATTTATATATATTTACTAGCGCAAATTATTTATTGCATTAATTGTTACACTTTATATATGGTTGATTTTTTTTGCAGCTGGTACACTATAAGTAAGTTATATAATTTTGACCATAGGCGCTATTATTAATTTTCATCCTTCAGTATCACTTTAAAGTGTTAAGTTCACCTTTAACAAAAAGCCACCCTATGGCATTTTAGATCCCCTGAACAGTACACACTGGCACTCCTCATTTTCAAGTGTTGTTCCTGCTTTCCGTTACATATGCAGGTGGTGGCTCTCTATGGCGGAGGCTCTCTATGGTGGTGGTGGCTCTATGCAAACTGCTGACCCCTTGATCCCCCTCTGTCCTGCAGGACAGCCTAGACACCAGACGTCTGCGCCCCTGCGGCCTGTTCAAATTGCACACATGCATGGTGTGCTCTCCTCCAGCTCAGCACTGCGCACTGCGTGCCCTTCAAACAGCCTGCAGCAGCTGCACGCTTGTAATGTCAAGACTGTACTGAAAACAGCAAGACGGAGGGGGATAGAGGTGCAAGCAGTTTACACAGAGAGCCCCCCACCACCAAACTGCTGGCACCTAAATCCTCTCCTCCTGCTGCGGTTTTCAGTACAGTTTTGATGTTACAAGTGTGCGTCCTTCTGCAGGCTGTTTGGGGTACACACATGCGCAGTGCTCTCTAGTTGCAGCGGCCGATCTGGAGAGCACATGTGCAATTTGAACAGAACAGGCTGAAGGAGCACAAACTTGTGGTGTCTAGTCACCCCCCCCCGCAAACAGCACGGCCCAGGGGGAGCAAAGGGGTCAGCAGTTTATACAGAGCACCCCAACTGCATATAGGGGGGTGCAGGGAAGGATCTTGCAGTTGAACTTCCATTCCCCTTCACTTCATTCCAATGTGACGTGGGGTGGAGAGCTTAGTAGAATGTTCGGTTTGAAGTATATCCAATCTCTCAGGGCCTGGGCCCCAATCAGATACTCTGGGGTGAGAGGAATCCTGACATTGGAGCCCCAAAGAGGTAAAAACAGACAGCAACTGACCTACCAGCCCACCGCCCCCCCTTCATCACTGAAATATCATTTGGGTGGGGTGGACCTTCACAAATCAACCTCCCATGTGAAGTCCATACACAGACCTGCACTCGTTTGGTCCTCATCTCGGAGTTCTGAGCTCTCTGTTCTTCCCTTTTATTCTTCATTTTCTCCATCTCTCTCACTATGTTGGACTTTCTTCTGGCTGAGTAAATAAAAAATTAAAAAATGTCATGTGACCGTTTTCCAATTAAATACCAGCAAATGGCAGCGTGATCGGTTTGTGAAATGTTAAAGCGAGATTCGCACTTCCATGTTAGAACGTTCGGCATGCATTGTGGTGCCAATTTAAATGCCATCCCAACACACTGAGGCAATGCATTGACTGTATGTTATCAATGCTCATTCATTGGGAAACCCTGCTGACCTCTGAATGAGCCCAGCACCCCCCCCCCCCCCGCAAAGAGATGTAAAGAACCCGGTGGGAGTTCTCTGAACATCTCACATTGACAAGTCTCATTGGCTCACTGACAGCCAATCAGCCTTCATGACAGCTCACCTGGATTGCTCTTCGCAGCAGATGGCGCCGACTCCTCCACGATTTCATTCACCCGCGGCAACAACCGGCTCTCCCCGATACTGCTGTACTTTGTGGATCTTGTTCGCATAGCTGGGGAAGAATCCAAAAACATTTACTACCAGAGAGTCTGTTGGAGGGCACCCTGGCCACAATGAGCCCCCCCCGACAAGAGTCAGAGGGTGCCTGGCCACACTGAGCCCCCCTTGACCAGAGCCAGAGAGCACCCAAGCCACAATAAGCCCCCTGACCACAATAACTCTCCCCCCCCTTCCCCAGGACCAGAGCTGGAGGGCACCTGGCCACCACAATGAGCCCTCTCCCCTCCCCCCCCCCCCAACCAAAGCCGGGGGGCGCCTGGCCACAATGAGCTGCCCCCCCCCCCCACCAGAAAGCGCGCCCAAGCCACAATAAGACCAGAGCCAGGGGCATCTGGCCACAATAACTCCCCCTCCTTCCCAGGACCAGAGTAGGAGGGCACCCTGGCCACAATGAGCCCCCCCCCCCCCCCCCCCCGGAGGGCGACTGACCACAATGACCCTCCCAATCAGAGGAGGGCGCCTGGCCACAATGACCTCCCCCCCCCCAGGACCAGAGTAGGAGGGCACCTGGCCACAATGACCCCCCCCCCCCCGAAACCAGAGCCGGAGGGCGCCTGACCACAATGACCCTCCCAATCAGAGCAAGAGGGCGCCTGGCCACAATGAGCTCTGACCAAAGCCGGAGGGCGCCTGGCCACAATGACCCCCCCCAAAAAAAACCCCAGAGGGCGCCTGGCCACCCACCCCTTCCCCCCCCGGCCTGAGCCGGAGGGTGCCTGGCCACAATGAGCCCCCATTCCCCCCCCCCCCCCCCCCCGAGCTGGAGGGTGCACCTGACCACAATCGGTCCCTGTCCAGAGTTGAAGAAGTGCATCTGGATCAGAACAAGTCCCTGACCAAAGCCAGAGGGTATCCAGACAACAAAAAAAAAAAACAAAAAAAAAAAAAACACACCCCCCCCCATTCAAAAACAAACACCAAAACTGTAATGATACTCACAATTATTTATGCTCTGCTGTACAACTGATTGCGGCGCAGGCTCCACCTCCATATCCAGGTCAGCCGGACGGGTTTCAGGAATGGCGGACATCCTGATCGAACGACTTCGCAGGGCTGAAAAAGGGTTGTCACAAATACACAAAAGTTTACTACAAGCCCAACCCACAATCCTTCGCTCCCCAGAGCCGCCAGCACCACAACGACCAGAGCCGCCAGCGCCACAACGACCAGAGCCGCAGAGGAGCAATAAATACGGGAGTCTCCTTACTCCTCCAATCTCCTCCCACATCATGGGGGCAATCGCAGTAAAAAGTTTTTAGAACTCCATGTTATGGAGTCCTAACATACGTGGAAGGACTAGAACACAGGTAGCCATACGCTACATGGCCAATGAGGCCATATTGAACACCGTTGCTCGGGTTCATTTGGATGGATTTCATTGGCCAGGAAGTTCTGAGCTGTGGAAGCCAATGAACAAGTCTCATTTTTACACCCGTTTCCTCTGTGGGGAATGGGGGCCGGTATGTACCCACAATGCATGCAGCGTCAGGACAAACCCCGTCCTTATTGCTGCCCCCACCAGTGACGCGGGATGTTCTGGCCGTCGTACTGCTGAGGCTGATCTGCGTCCATCATTAGCATTTTTTTACATTGTGCCCATCATTTAGGCTGATTAGGAATTCAGTGCAGCAGTCCCTCTCCCGGTGCAGCAGTCCCTCTCCCGTGCAGCAGTCCCTCTCCCGGTGCAGCAGTCCTCTCCCGGTGCAGCAGTCCCCTCCCGGTGCAGCGTGATTGAGCCATAAGCCTTTTCAGTGACCACCCTGCCAGATTTATACACAGGGGTGGAGACCGGGGGTAAAGCCAACCACTGAGGACAGGAATATGGGAGCCATCACTGCTGAACAGCTTTTAAAGATTCAGGCTCCAGGGCTGTCATCCTAATCCTGCCTTTGTCTATGTAGGATGCAGATTACCTGGAGCAAGCATGCAGCCAGCAAAGGCTAAAATCCCATCCTGTGTGCTCGCTCCATGTAAGGCCCCATTCACAAAGGGCATTCAGCCCCCACTGCCCGAGGCTCTGGTTTAGGCGGAGGGCACAGTGTACCATCCAGTCCCGCTGCCAGTCAAGGCCGGCAGCTGCTGTGGCTGGCCAGTACCCAGGTCAGGGAAGCATGCGGTCCAGGAGGAAAGCAGACTGTTCCATGCGCAGTGCCCTAAACATTAGTACTGCCAGATGCATCGTCCAGCCGCAGCAGCCGCCCGCCGCTCAGATGTTTACAGGCTGCCAGCAGACAGACAACGCACCCGAGCTTCCACCCATACCGGAATCCCAGAGCCTCATGCACCAGAGCTGAAAGCCCATGTGGGGGGGGGGGATGACTACATGTCCACATATTGAGCCTTTGAAACCAGGTCAGTAATGGCCACCTCCCCATTCCTGTCCTCAGATTCATTCTAAAGAAGAACTCCGCTATTTGTATTTTTTTTTTTTTTTATATTATCAAAAGTGTTATTCACTTTGGAAGAATGGTTTCTGTTCTGTTTGGCCTCTTGAACACGGAAGGAAAAAAAAAATATTTTTTTTTTTTTTTTTATCGATCTGAATCTAGATGCAAAATGGAATTCCCTCTTTCTGGGTTATTATTGGAAAAAAAAAATTAAAATGTCTAAAAATAGTCCAAGCTTTATTAAATACAAAAGACACAAAAAAAGATAAAAAACACACCACAACACAACAAACACACAATCACTGGGGGAAAAAAAAAAAAAAAAACACCCCCCCATTGTACAGGTGTATCTCTAACGCAGAACAGCCTCAATTGCAATAGAGTAACTCACAGATTTGTCAATGCAGTTGGTCTGAAAACAGACGCATCCAACACGTTTCGAGGTAGGGTTTGTTTTTTTTTTTTTTTTTAATCTTCATCAGGGGTGTCACTATGCAGAATCCTGATCCTTGACAAGGATCTAAACGTGACCTATCACGAAATGCGTTGATGCTTCTGTCCTCAGACCAACTGCCTTGTGGACAAATAAATGCGAGTTACACTGTTGCAATCTGTCCTCCTTTAGCCCTGTGATCGCACCGGTGCACAACACGTGATTTACAAAATCGCACCGGAAGTTGCATCTAATGAATTTTTATGACACAGTCTTAATCAGTGCAATTTTCAAAACAATAGTTCCTGCACTCCTCCTCCTCCCCCCCCCCCCCTTTACCGATTTAATTGCGACCGTGTCTGTTAAATGAAGTTGAAAGCGGGCAGTGCCCGAAATAGGGGGCCCCTGAGATGCCCCTGGTACCATTTCATATCTTTTGAGTTTGGGCAAGGACACAGGGGCCCCCATGATCCCCTATTGCGCCCCATGAGTTGTCAGTCCGCCCCTATACAAATCGCTGATCTGCCACTTCAAGTGAAGTTGCGCAGTTTCAAAGTCGTGAACCGGGGATTATTCTTTTAACAGGTCTTTGTATTAATAAAGCTTGGACTGTTTTTATATACAGTTTTAGATTATACAATTTTTTTTGCAATAAAAGTCTCAAAAAAAAGGGAATTCATCGATTTTGTATTGTATGGGGAGGACGGCATTTCTGTAGCGTTCTGTCATTTACACGCAGTCCAGACAAATCCGCCAACCAGATCCCGTATGAACAACAGGAAAACATTGCGTCCGCATGCAACCGGCCCTTAAACCAGAAACCATTTGAATGAACCCTCCGAATCAGAAATTGGATACTTTTCTAGAAAAGAAATGTATGACTGCGTCCCCGCGTACACCTAACTGCTGCGCATGCGCAGTGACTGGGAGGAGCGCCTGTATGGAGCCACCCCTCCTCTTGTTTCATGCTTCATGATAACACCCCCCCCCCCCAAAATGATGCAGCATCATCTTTGCACAGTAAGTTGTGCTGGGACCCCATAGGAGGAATCGCATGCAGACTACGTATGGAAGGTGCCCTTTCCTGACCCATCCATAGGCAATCTAACTTAGAGCCAGAGCGGAGTTCTTCTTTAATGAATAGTTAAACCTTAACCAATGAGAGCGCCCTTTTCATTGATTGATCTGCGGGCCACGATCCACTATCCGATCCGATCGAGGGACCCGGGGCACACCAAGATCCGATCGAGGGACCCGCGGGACCAAGATCCGATCGAGGGACCCGCGGGCACCAAGATCCGATCGATTTGGATTGAAGCACCGATTGTGTAGCGTCACCGTTTGCCTTAAAGGTTTGAAAGTGAATGTTGTGCCTTATGATTTCCTATAATAAGCCAAATATCCAGAACCCCCATTTCCTGTACAGACACCAAGGTTCAGGAGTGAGCGCAGTAGGCGTGTTTCCGGGTTTCTTCAGTTTCCTCCAATAACAGATCACCTAGAGAACATTTCATGCAGGCGAGTCCTGTTTGCAACTGGACCAGAGACCCAGCGCTGCGCACAGAACCACCACTGAGTTACCGTGCTGTCAGAGAAGAGAACACGGACTGCCCTAGCGTGCTCCCAGTCTTCACATGTTCCCGGTATATACATCCCATAGAGCTGAGCCAACCATGGCTGCCATAGAGAACACTGACCGGGTACCCCAACACCGATGACAGGGACCGGGCACGCTCAGTGCCCACCGGTGTATGTACAGGGTGGAGGGGGCTCTGGATAAGCTGCGGCAAAGGTGGAGAGGGCGATTGGAGAAGCAGCCGCCCCCGCAGGGGCCCCATTACCTGTCTGAGCAGCACTCTCTGCGACAACAGGGTTCATCGCCGTCACTTCAGGAATAAAGAGCGAGGGCAGATTAGGCTCTGTTGTCAGTCATGAAAAATTCAAAATTCAGCAGCAAAGTCTTACGTCATGTAATGTGATCTCCCTGCCTGACACTTGTTACAGGTGAGACAACCATTCTAGGTGCAGTACCTACTACCACCTGAAGCTGAGGGGGGCGCTCTGCACCAGATATTTTAGCCCCTCAAGCCTGCGCTTAAATAAACCTCTCTTTGTATAATTCATATAGGAAAATGGGAACAGCTGTACTTGCTTACATAGGCAGGCTTGGCTTCTTACCTACACAGATTGTGCTTTGCGGTTATGCTTTCCCAAATCTAGGAAGAACTAATATTTTTTAAAAAAAGAATTCAGCAATGGGGGGGGGGGGTCCAATCCTTCCCTACGCCATACATAAAATAGTGTTTAGATACACTTTAAAGGCCCAGTCCACCTTTTATAGAAACTGGTCCCTGCAGACAAGGGGCCCCGGTATTGTTAAAATGCGCGGTGCCGTATAAGATTCCTTACCGGTAGGCCGCTCTGTGCCCCCAATACTCCAGCACTGACACCCTTGTGCTCCATGTTAATTGCAGGGCATTGCAGACATTGCCACCCACCCCCAGCATTGGTGGAGCGAGCTTCCCACTTTAAAAAGCTGCACATGCTCAGTGCGTTCCCCCACTGCCTATCCCATCAACACTGAGCCCAACCACCGCGTCTATGGAGGTTTCCCATTTTAAAAGCTGCACATGCTCAGTGCGTTCCCTCTGTCCATCCCAACCATCGCCTTACTGCGCCTATGGAGCATTCCCATTTTAAAAGCTGCACATGCTCAGTGCGTTCACTCTCTGCCCATCCCAACCATCTCCTTACTGCACTATGGAGGATTCCCATTTTAACAGCTGCACATGCTCAGTGCGTTCCCTCTCCATCTATCCCACCAATAACGGAGTTATATCACTGCCGCGCTGTGTCTACGGAGGAGTGTTGTCACCCTAAGACAGGCCTATGGAACTCCCCCCCCTTCTCCATTATATGCGGGAGGCGGTTTCTGTAGTTCACAGATGATAGTAAGTACAGCTGTGAACACTGCTGGCATTTCAGTTCAGGATTTCTGGCAGGATCAACAGGCATTCACTGTGCTTGCTGAAAATGCACTGAAAAAAAAAAAAAAAAACCAATGCCGCTTCCACATCCAAGGATTGGTAAAGCCGCAATAGGACATTTTTCTGGTTTGGTTTACACACAGATTAAACCCTTTCACCGTTAACTGTTCCTGCACAGAAAAAAAAAAATACACAAACAAAAAAAAAAAAAACAAAAAACACACAAAAAAAAACAAACACACACACAAAAAAAACACACAAAAAAAACACAAAAAAAACAAACACACACAAAAAAACAAAAAAAAAAAAAAAAAAAAAACCACAAAAAACCAGCACAACCAACATGGAAATGCACATTTTTCGAAGCACTGCGGCAGGTTGATGCGTGCTGAGTGCAATGTGGTGCGACCTCAAGTCTGTGGTGCTGGACTGATGGATGAAGCCGGGAAGCCAATGGTTGCTGCGGGTGACAGGACCCCCCGGGACCCATCATGTGACCCCAGGACAGGACACGGACCGCGCTGACACTTCCTCAATAGATTACATTTCAGCCGTAAAACACCCCGAAAATAGACAGAACCCGGCGCTGGTCGGCTTGTATATGGAAAGGCAATCATGGCGTCTATTTATATCCTCCCAGCAGGTCGGGTTCAGGTGTCACCGCAGGACGGGGAAATCGCTGCCAGACCCATGAAGACCCTGCATCCCTCATTACATCAGATCCAAAAATTAGAGCGCAACAGGTGGGGCGCAGATGCAGACCCCCCAGGAGGCCGTCACTGCACTGACTCTGCTCTGTTTAACTCCTAACTAGTTCAAAAGCTGCCCATTTACCGCCCCCCGCCCTGCAGAGGATGCAGGAGCAGCGTCATCCCGGCCAAGACATCCAAAGACCGGACAGTCCGGAGAAGCTGCTGCAGCCGATGCGGCAGACAGGGAAGTAAAGCTGTATTACACCCAACAGCAAACACGGCAGCTTTAGCCATTCTCAGATGTGACGGCTGCAATGGTTCTCACTTTTTAGGCTCACTTTCATTTCAACTGGTGATCCAGCCAGCAAGTCTGTTTTCCCCAGCAGAAAAAGCACTCTTGCAGTTACAGGGATGAGACAAACCATTTACCGCCGGACGGGGGTGCTTACAGTAATCAGCTTTTATTCAGTCATGTAAAATCTTTATCCCAAAAGAAAATTACTGTAAGTGATCATAAAGCATTGGGCTCCATGCACACTGGGGGGGGGTTTGATAACGCCGGTAAAGTTAGCTGTGTAAAGTCACATTAAAAACTGGAGTTTTTCAGCGTTTTAGTTTAGTGGGTATTTTTTGGTAAAAAATGCAGTTTTTCACAGCTTTAAAAAAAAAAAAAAAAAAAAAAAAAAAAAAAAAAAAAACCACACTGCTCTAGAAGCGCACTAGTTCTGGGTTTTTCCAGCCCAAAAAACACATCGATTACAAAAGGCGAACTTATCCTTTAACCACTTCCTGTCCGGGGACACTTTTACCCCCTTCCTGACCAGGCAATTTTCAGCTTTCAGCGCTATCACACTTTGAATGACAATTGCGCGGTCATGCAATACTGTACCCATATGAATTTTTTACCATTTTTTTGAGACAGATAAAGCTTTATTTTGGTGGTATTTATTCACCGCTGGGATTTTTATTTTTTTTACTATGTAAATGAAAAAGTCCAAAAATTTTGAAAAAGTGTTTTTTTTTTTTTATAAAATTTTGCAAATAAATAATATTTCATCCTAAATCTTGGCCAAAATTTATTCCGTTTATTTTTTTAGTAAAAAAAAAAATCCAAATTAGTTTATAACCAAACATTATAATTTTTAAACATTTTTTTTTACATTTTTATTTTATTTTTTTATTTTTTTTTTTTATTTTTACATACTGTCACCCTAGCAGTACAGTGTCACCATGGTGACACTGTACTACTTGGGGGGTGATGAAGATTTTTTTTTTTTTTTTTTTACACTGATTGCTTTTACACCCATATAGGATGTAAAAGCAATCATTTCTCTTTTCTCTCTGTCTGCATTCTTGCAGTCATTGAGAAATACTGAGTGAGCTGTGATTGGTCACAGCTTGTCACATGGTACAAGGCTGTTGTGAATAGCCTTGTACCATGTGACCTCTGTGATCATTCACAGATTTCACACGTAGTAAGCAATGATGTCACAAGTGACATCTTGCTCACTACTTTGCATGTGATCACTGATTCGCCAATCAGTGATCACATGACCGGGACCTCGTACAGAGGTCCCGTCCGACGATCGGTGTTTCACTGTGTCCGGAGGACACAGCGGACACCGGATCGCGGTGGTGCGCGCTCCTAGGGAGCGCGCACAGCTAGAAAAGGCGGGTGCCGTTTAGGAACGGCAACCCGACCTTGGACTGCCACCGCCCTGCCGTTTATAAACAGCAGGCGGACGGCAAGAGGTTAAAGAGCGGCCGGCCTACAGCCCCCCCACTAAGAGTAATGGCAGCAAACGGACGGCGGCGGATCTCACCTTCCTTAGGCGGTGCGGGAATTCTGGAGGTTTTGCGTCTTTGATTCTGCTGGTGGGAAATAAATAAAAGTTTAGAAGGTATCCAAGTTATGCGTAGAATCCCCGAGGGGGGGGGGGGAGGGGGGGGGAGGTGTTACCCACAAAACAAAAACACCCAAACAAACCTCAAAAATGTCAATTCCCCCCCCCCCCCCCCCCAATAATGAGAAAGGGTTGGGGGCCACTCAGACCTGAAAATTCCCGCCAGGGTACTTAAAGCGGGGGGGTTCAAGGCAGTTGAGGGGCAACAATCCTGGTGTTCCATTTAATGTATCTAAAAGACAATTTGGGGTTTTTTCCCTGGAAGGGGCAGAAAGTGTTCTCAGGCTTGTAGGCCGTCTGTGTCCCCATTAGGGAGATTTACACTCTATTTGATCTGGTGAAAAGGAAGGAAAAAAAAAAAAAAAAACCCATACACACAAAACAAACAACAAGGGGGGGGAGCTGGGTCAGCACAGGAATTGCCCAGAACTCACAAGTCTCCCCCCTTGGATGATTTTGCGATCTTCTAGAAGAGGGTCATGGCTGCCATATTCGCTCCGATCGATTATAACATCGTTCTCTCCCAGAGTAATAATCGATCGAAGAGAACAGAATCAGCAGATGTCAGTTGTTAGCGGAGGGACCATTGCAATCCTGTGATGAGATCCGTGCGATCCACTGAAAGTGATCAGATTGGCGATCGAATCATCTCAGTGTCGCAGATTGATGCCAAACGATCGATACCCGTCCACCCGCCAGCTCTGCGCAATCCAAACTAGTCCAATCTAAGATGAGCCCCCTTCCCAACCTCCCACTCTGCACAGCCCCCCCCCCCCCCTTTGCATCACCCCCCCCCCCACTCTGCACAGCCCCCCCCCCCTTTGCATCACCCCCCCCTCCACTCTGCACAGCCCCCCCTTTGCATCCCCCCCTCCACTCTGCACAGCCTCCCCCTTTGCATCCCCCCCCACACAGCCTCCCCCTTGCATCCCCCCCCCACTCTGCACAGCCTCCCGCTTTGCATCCCCCCCCCCCACTCTGCACAGCCTCCCCCTTTGCATCCCCCCCCCCTCTGCACAGCCACCCCCTTTGCATCCCCCCCCCCCACTCTGCACAGCCTCCCCCTTTGCATCCCCCCCCCCACTCTGCACAGCCTCCCCCTTTGCATCCCCCCCCCCACTCTGCACAGCCTCCCCCTTTGCATCCCCCCCCCCCCCACTCTGCACAGCCTCCCCCTTTGCATCCCCCCCCCACTCTGCACAGCCTCCCCCTTTACATCCCCCCCCCCACTCTGCACAGCCTCCCCCTTTGCACCCCCCCTTTGCATTCCCCCCACACACACTCACTCCACACAGCCTCCCCCTTTGCATCCCCCCCCCCACACACTCCGCACAGCCTCCCCCTTTGCACCCCCCCCCCCCACTCTGCACAGCCTCCCCCTATGCGCACCCCCCCCCCCCACTCTGCACAGCCTCCCCCTTTGCACCCCCCCCCCCCCCCCCACTCTGCACAGCCTCCCCTTTGCATTCCCCCCACACAGCCTCCCCATTGCATTCCCCCCACACAGCCTCCCCCTTTGCACCCCCCCCACACTCCGCACAGCCTCCCCCTTTGCATCCCCCCCACACAGCCTCCCTCCGCACAGCCTCCCCCTTTGCACCCCCCCCCACTCTGCACAGCCTCCCCCTTTGCACCCCCCCCCCACTCTGCACAGCCTCCCCCTTTGCACCCCCCCACTCTGCACAGCCTCCCCCTTTGCACCCCCCCCCCACACAGCCTCCCCTTTTGCATTCCCCCCCACACACACTCACTCCGCATAGCCTCCCCTTTGCATCCCCCCAACTCTGCACAGCCTCCCCCTTTGCACCCCCCCCCCCACACTCCGCACAGCCTCCCCCTTTGCACCCCCCCCCCCCACACTCCGCACAGCCTCCCCCTTTGCACCCCCCCCCACACTCCGCACAGCCTCCCCCTTTGCACCCCCCCCCCCCACACTCCGCACAGCCCTCCCCCTTTGCACCCCCCCCCCCCACACTCCGCACAGCCTCCCCCTTTGCACCCCCCCCCCCCCCACACTCCGCACAGCCTCCCCCTTTGCACCCCCCCCCCCCACCCGCACAGCCTCCCCCTTTGCACCCCCCCCCACACAGCCTCCCTCCGCACAGCCTCCCCCTTTGCATCCCCCCCCACACTCCGCACACTCCCCAGCCTCCCCCCTTGCACCCCCCCCACTCCGCACAGCCTCCCCCTTGCATCCCCCCCCCCCCCACTCCGCACAGCCTCCCCCTTGCACCCCCCCCACTCCGCACAGCCTCCCCCTTGCACCCCCCCCCCCCCACTCCGCACAGCCTCCCCCACTCCGCACAGCCTCCCCTTTGCCTCCCCCCCCCACACAGCCTCCCCTTTGCATTCCCCCCACACCTCAACACTCACTCCGCATCCCCCCCCCCCACATTCCGCACAGCCTCCCCCTTTGCATCCCCCCCCCCCCCCCCCCCCCCCACACACAGCCTCCCCCTTTGCATCCCCCACACACACACTCACTTCGCACAGCCTCCCCCTTTGCACCCCCCCCCCCCCCGCACAGCCTCCCTTTTTGCACCCCCCCCCCCCGCACAGCCTCCCTTTTTTGCACGCACCCCACCCCCCGCACAGCCTCCCTTTTTGCACCCCCCCCCCCGCACAGCCCCCTTTTTGCACCCCCCCCACACACAGCCTCCCTTTTTGCACACCCCCCCCCCCCACACACACAGCCTCCCTTTTGCACACACCCCCCCCCCACACACACAGCCTCCCTTTTTGCACACCCCCCCCCCCCCACACACACACAGCCTCCCTTTTTGCACACAACCCCCCCCCCCATACACACAGCCTCCCTTTTTGCACACCCCCCCCCCCCACACACACAGCCTCCCTTTTTGCACACCCCCCCCCCCCACACACACAGCCTCCCTTTTTGCACACCCCCCCCCCCCACACACACAGCCTCCTTTTTGCACACACCCCCCCCCCCCCCCCACACACACACACAGCCTCCCTTTTTGCACACCCCCCCCCACACACACACAGCCTCCCTTTTTGCACACCCACCCCCCCCCCCACACACACACACAGCCTCCCTTTTTGCACACACACCCCCCCCCCCCCCCACACACACACACAGCCTCCCTTTTTGCACCCCCCCCCCCCCCACACACACACAGCCTCCCTTTTTGCACACCCCCCCCCCCACACACAGCCTCCCTTTTTGCACCCCCCCCCCCCACACAGCCTCCCTTTTTGCACACACCCCCCCCCCCCCCCACACACAGCCTCCCTTTTTGCACACCCCCCCCCCACACAGCCTCCCTTTTTGCACCCCCACCCCCCCACACAGCCTCCCTTTTTGCACCCCCCCACACAGCCTCCCTTTTTGCACCCCCCCACACAGCCTCCCTTTTTGCATCCCCCATCCCCCCCCCCCCCGCACAGCCTCCCTTTTTGCACACAGCCTCCTTTTTGCACCCCCCCCCCCGCACAGCCTCCCTTTTGCACCCCTTTTTGCACCCCCCCCCCCCCCGCACAGCCTCCCTTTTTGCACCCCCCCCCCCCGCACAGCCTCCCTTTTTGCACCCCCCCCCCCCCCGCACAGCCTCCCTTTTTGCACACCCCCCCCGCACAGCCTCCCTTTTTGCACACCCCCCCACAGCCTCCCTTTTTGCACCCCCCCCCCCCCGCACAGCCTCCCTTTTTGCACCACCCCCCCCCCCCCCGCACAGCCTCCCTTTTTGCACCCCCCCCCCCCCCCCTTTTTGCACACAGCCTCCCTTTTTGCCCCCCCCCCCCCGCACAGCCTCCCTTTTTGCACCCCCCCCCCCCCCCACAGCCTCCCTTTTTGCACACCCCCCCCCCCCCCACACACAGCCTCCCTTTTTGCACACCCCCCCCCCCCCCACACACAGCCTCCCTTTTTGCACACCCCCCCCCCACACACACAGCCTCCCTTTTTTGCCACACCCCCACCCCCCCCCCCCCCCCCCCCACCAACAGCCTCCCTTTTGCACAACCCCCCCTCCCCCCCCCACACACAGCCTCCCTTTTTGCACTCCCCCCCCCCCCCCCTTTTTGACACACCCCCCACCAGCCTCCCTTATTCCCCCCCCCCCCCCCCACACCCCCTCCCTTTTTGCACCCCCCCCCCCCCACTCACAGCTCACCCTCCCCTTTTTGCCCTCCCCCCCCATATACAAGCCCCCCATGTACTGCCCCCGAGACCCCCCCCCCCACCAGTCCTCCCTTTTTGCACCGCGGATATAGTATGACAGCCTCCCTTGATAAACTCCCTTATATTCCCACAGCTGATGCGCGCCCCCACCCCCCCATCCCGGTCCCACCCCCCCCCCCACCTCCCTTTTTGCCATCCCCACCAGCCTCCCTTTTTGCAGCCCCCCCCGCCCCGCCCATATCTCCCTGCCTTACCACCCAGCCTCCCTTTTTTAGCAACTCCCCCACTCCACACGGTCTCCCTTTATTTGCCCCCTCCCCCCCGATGTTCCCCAACAGACCGCCCCCCCCCCCCCCCCACAGCCATGACCCCCCGAGAACACACAGCCCCTGCAACTACCCCCCCCACCAGCCTCTGCCCTCACCCCCCCCCAGGCGAGGGGCAGGGGGCCCCTGACGCGGGGCCCCACCCGACAACACCCAGGGGCAGTCCCCCCCCATGTTCCTCTGAGTGGCATATTCACTTCCCTCCCCCCCCCCCGCAACAAGAGATCAGAGCCTCAGGAAAGAGCGAGGGCAGGGGGACGTGAGGGGCAGGGGGGGGGGACGGAGGGGCAGAGGGTGGGGGTACAGGAGGGCCGTGAGGCAGGGGCAACACACAAGCATAGTCAAGGCGATTTCTAGCCCCACACGTGCTTTTCCCCCCCATCTCTGCTCCCCCTCCAGGCCCCACTCTCAGCCCACCCCTCCAGGCTCCGGCCCCACCCCACCACCCAGGGAGCCAAATGCTACTCTTCTACGGTTTCTATGACACCCGCAGTCATTTCATCCCCTCTT